ATTCTAATGACATTTCTAAATTAAAAAATATTATGGGATTCAGAAAAGTGACAACGAAAAATAAGTGAGTACATACTAAAAGATCCACGTTTACTCACACAACACAGTCACTGCTTGTAAGTTTTGGAAGCTCAACAAAACTATGTAAGAGCAAGAGTTCCTTTATGTGGCTTGTTTGTCATCAGTAAAATCAATTAGCATTTATACAGCCTCTCTTCAGGATATATGACACACATAGAATAGATAGAATAGAACAGATAGAATGGACTTGAGATTGAGTTTTCAAGAATGATCTTAGCATAGGAAATTATCAGCATTTCTATATAGATCATCATCTATATAGAACATCAAGACGTCTAGAAGTTTGTCTATCAGGTCTGTAAGGATGATGGTATTTGGATCTCTAGCTGAAATGGAAAAGCTCTATGTGAAAATTAAATATACTGCTATGTACAATAAAAACACCTCCAAATTTTGAAATAAAACTTTAATTTAAAATATATTATTTTAGAATATTGTTTCATATTTTTCTTTACAAATAAAAAATCTTCATCTGCAAACCTTGTTAAGATATTTATAATTTACCTTCATCTAAATGGCACGTTTAAAATAATGCATCTTCCCCTCAATTCTTAATAACAAGCTGGTATTGGGACACTGTTCAGAAACTCCAGTGCTTAAAATTGTACTATATAACCATATTCCCTTGTTTCTGAAAGACTTTAAAAAAATCCCAAACACAGAAACAAACCAACACAAAAAAAATTACCAAAACGGTGAAAATCTAGAATATCAAGAACATTCTGTTTTCAATTGTTTGGTCAATTAACTAATCTGTGTTAAACAGAAGCTTGAAAAAAAGATTGCATTTATTTTGTTATCTAGATTTTTTTTGGAAAACATTGGAATACAAATTTTTTAGTTACTCTACCCATAGCTATTCAACAGGCAGCCTAATTCTTTTCCCACACCAGGGATGCAATGGATTGGAACCGAATGGAAACTCATGCAGTTCTACTGCTAGAGAGCATCAATTTCCATCAAAATGCATATATTTGTATAATTCCTACTGTGCCCTACAGATTTTTCCAGTGCTAAACAAATGAGGTAAAGGGAAAAACTAAATCTCATTCATTCTGCAGTACCTAGCACTACTGGAAACTTCATAGTCTGTAAGAACAGCTGTGAAATGTGCATATGCCTGCAAAAAACACCTGGGAATTTGGAATGCTTGGTTTTTATCCACTACTTGATGACTGTCATATGTATGTAAAAACCATATATGGCAAGTCTGGTAATAGTCCCTCTATACTACAATAAACTCTATGAAAGATTTGAAAGATTTTGTAGATCTATTCTACAAAATATCGTAGATATTCTATTGTAGATAATATATTCTAATGATTTCTGAGTTAAAAGACTGGTGGAGAGATCATATACAAAAGGTCACCTTAAAAAAGGCATATTCTGAGCTTCCTTTCCTGTTGAAATTTTAAAAACCATCTCAATGCTGAGATTGAAAACAGTTATTTAATATGTATTTGTGGCTGCATCTTCAGTAGAAATTAAACTCTTAACAAAAGGTGGTAGAGGACAAGACTGAAAGGCCTGGCAGAAGCTCCTATATGCACGTCCAATAATTGTTTTGAAAAGCAAAACAAATAAAACAGCAAGACTTGCTCCCTGCAACAAAAAGTGGTTTATACTTATTTTGCAGTATAAACACAGAAAGTTGATTTTCCACCTGTCACAAGGGAGTATTATAACACCATTTTTGTGGGGAGGGGAGAACAAGAAATTACTAACAATACAGGGAATCTCCAAAAGAGGATCTACTACTGCTGGAGGAGAAAAAGGAAAAAAAAACCCCACAAAACTATGTTCAATTGTGTCAAATGAATTGCTGGGTGATGGTATCTGAAGGATGGCATCTGAGGAGATGGAAACTACTGGAAAGGAAGGACACAAAATGGAAATGACAGAAACAATTTGATGAGATTGTTAGAACTTCTTAAAATGCTCTTAAATCAATGAGTCTTCATCAGTAAACCAATCTACCAGTTAAAATAACATCTGGAAAGTATTCTTTCCACAAAGGGAGGGTGGTAGAGATGAGAGGGAGAGAGAGAACAGGGAGGACACAGAAGGGAAAATACAGCAATGACATCAGGAATTAAGTTACACTATAATCCTACATGTGTGCCAACACTATTACATTCTTAATCAGCAAGTGCAATAATCATGAAACAAAAGATTCATGGGAAGATTAAAAATGCTGAAGTGTGGGATGAAAAGAACAGATATTCAGAATTGCACAAATAGAAAACATTGCAGAGGTAAATATATTATTTCTCTTGCAGAAGTGGTTATAGTGACAAAATCTCTTTAAAATTGTACACATATCATTGTAGAAGTTGACACTGTTCAAAATATTCAATTTAACTGATTGACAGATTCATCCTAGAAATAATTTCTTAGGTGACAATCACTCCAGAAAGAACTAAGAGTCCACCCATGGAATGTCTTAATTGAGCCAAACAGTTCTAGAGAGATTTCCAGTGAAAAGGGAGAGAGTAAATCGGCAAGTTCAATTACATATGATAAGGGATCTACTGTATCAAACAACAGTGAAGAGAAAAAATATTTAAATGCAGATCCAGTGATACTTCATTCATTCATTTACTTATTTTTAGCTGAGACTCATTATTAATAGAGCAAGCTTTATACTAGCTTCAGTAATAATTTAATCAAGGCATATTCATAAATAATTGTTTATTTTATAACTGCAGTCATTTCACAGCAAAAGTTCATTTTCTGGCTACTAATTGAAGGTTTATAATCAAACTGTATATAACCTGACTGTTTAGCAATTCATTAACAATGCTGAACTCAGAATTTCTACCGTGCCATCCTGTACCACTGCCTGTATTAACTGCACTGTACACTGCTTTTCATCAAGTAAACAATTGCTCTTTCAAGTGACAAAAATGCATGCCTGCTCTCAAGGAGACATGCATTTTACTGCATCATTAAAGAAAAATGTTCATTCTATGATATCAAAAGACTAGCAGTATGAAAATATCAACACTTAATAGTAGAAAATAGTAGAAAAATGATAGAAAAAAATCCTCTTTAACAGCAATACATTAATAGAGAACCCAGACAGACCTGGGACATGCTACATTTCAGAAAGTTCTACACAAACTCTCTACTCAAGAATGAATAGAAGACTCCTCCCACCAGCTAGGGTAAATCAAAACAGCCAAGATGTTTTTAATGATGATTCTCCACAAAGTCTGGAAAATGAGCAGGTGAGTCCTTCTGCAAGAATAAATGTCAAATCAAAATGAAGGTTTAAGCCAGTTCTTTTTTTGGTCTTTTCTACAGATGGTCCATGAGAAACTTTCCACTTTGCCTCCCTCCAGTGAGATCATTCTCTATTACCACAGAAATTAACATGATGCTAAAAATAAGCATGGTAGGACTATGCTGTATGATCAGCTGAGGAAAGGGACTGAGAGTGTAGGATTTCTCACACAGAAAATTACAAAATACTAATGAAACACAAGAAATATGTTATGCATCTGCTTTAATAGATTTAAATCACTTGCATATTCCTTTTTCTTTGTGCACATCCACTTGAGCTTACTTTAGTAAGACATTTGAACTCTGTCTGGTGCATGTTTTTGAGTCTTACCACTATGCTTGTCATTTTAACAGTGCTTTTTCATTTCCATGTTATTTCCAACATACAAAAGGTCATCTCCTCTAATTATCTCTACATTCTTAGAGATACCCTGCACTTAGCTGCAGAGGTGTTCAAAAGCAAATTACTATCAGTCTGATCCCAAGTGTATCTCACAGCAGAATCTCATCAACTTTCATGACTGTTTGTGTATAAACCGCAATACATGTAACGTAATACATGTATTCTATCCTTAAGGATTATGACGGCCGCTTGTATTTAAATTTTGATATTACGGAAGTCAGGTCGTGTTTAGGCAAGGCAAAGCTAAGGTGCCAATGTCTGCAGACGATTTTTACCCATAAACCTTGTGTGGCACCCATCCAGGTGAATCTTCCGAAACGCTCCGGTGCCATGTGGAAGCGGTGGGGGCTGGGCGCACAGACGGGCCCGACCGCGGCTGATGCAGGCGAGTGTGCGGCTGCTCTTCGGCGGCGGCCGCGGCCTCCCGCAGCTCTCACACGCCGTTCCCTGCGGGAAGGCCGACCAATAACCCCGGGAATGAAGCACAAAGCAGGCGGTGTCAGACCTACCTCTGCCCACCACAGCACTGAGCCAGCCGGCCTGCCCGATGATAAGTGAGGGCGAGGCGGAGAGCGAGCACTGCAGTACGACACACTACAGAGAACGACCCTCCCTCCCTCCGCTGCCTGCCGAGGAAAGAAGCGGGGCGAGAGGAGGGGGCTGCTCCTTCGGATCGCCTCCTCGCCTTCCCTGAGCTGAAAGGCCGCTGCAGGGCGCAGCCACCCACGCCGGCCCGGAGCTCCAGCAGCCCATCAGCTGCCGGGAAGGCGGCCGGGACCCTGGCAGCGGAGCAGAGAGAAGCCGAAAGGAGCAGAGAGGAGCCGAGCGGGGCGAGGCACCGCCCACGTCGGCTCCCCCACGGTCCCCACGCCGCACCCGCTTTGCGCATGCGGGCGCACCGCTCTTCGCCCTCCCTTCCACGGCGCCTGCGCGCTTCCCGGCCTGTGGGGGGGCCGGGCAAGTGTGGTGGCTGTCGGTGCCAGCGTGGGTTGCCGTGCCTCCTGCGCTTCGGCTGTTGGGCGCTCGTTCTCTCCCTGTGCTCAGCGCCGGCCCTTTCTTCCTTCCGTAGGGCCCTGCGGGCGGTTTGAAATTTACCGCAGTCTCTCACTCGAATTCTCGATGTGGCCGTAAGCGCCCGGCGCTGAAGGGGAGGAGGCAAGAGCGCGGGGCGGGGAAAAGGAGGGCGGCCTGGAGCGGGGCAGCTTGTCTGCCTGCAGCTCCGGTTCCCCCAACCCCTCGCGGGGAAGAGGTGGGAGGGGACGGTGGAGAGGGTTAAGTGAGGTAGCAGTTCCCTTGCCGCGGCCTGTGGACGGTCCGCGTCTGGCGGGCACTGTGGTTGCCCTGGGGCGGCTTTCGCCACTGTTCCCTTATCTCTGGGCGTAGGGAGTGAGGGAAGGAAGGAGCCTGAAGTGATTCCGGGATCCACAAACCCCTCACACCCCTGGAAGCCGTGGAGGGAAGAGTGAAACAATTCCCCCCTCCCTCCTGAGGCGTCCCGGTGCTGTGGCAGGCTGGCCCGCAGGTAAGGCTCCCTGGGGCCCAGGCAGGGCGAGGGCGAGGGCCGGGAGGAGGAAGGGTGTCACAGACACAAAACTCGGGCGATGAAGCGGGGCGGGAACCCGGTTCTTCAGGTTTGTAGGAGCGGCTCAGCCGGAACTCGTTGGTCAGGTCGGCGAGCAGAAGGAGAAGCTTGGGGCGGCGGTGCACGGCCCCTTCCGTGTGGCTGCGGCCAGACTCGGTGCGGGCGGACCCAGGGAAGCCGAGCCCGGCCTGGCCCGAGCCCTTCCGGCGGGCTGCTGCCGCTCACCGGGCGCGATCCCTCCTCCCGACCCGCGGGAAGCTGCCGTGCGCCCCTCGGGGGCTATGGGGAAACGGCGGAACGAGGGAGAAAGGAGGATGTGCTGAAATCACAGCTGTGTGTATTTCGGTGCCTTTCTCTCTCCTACTTCCTCGGCGCACGTTACCGCGGCTTCGCTGTTCCCGGAGCAGTAGGGCGTGCCCTCTCTGCAGCGAGCTGCCTGGCTTGAGAGTCGGTCACTCTTGCTGATGCTTGATTGTTTGGGTTTTTTTTAAATTTATTTCGGAGCACGCTGTTTTATTTTTAGTGTACTCGGTTGCTGTAATTGTAAAGACGTTCTTGAGGATGATAAGAGAGATTAACACATTCATGAGTTTGGAAGGAGCCCGAAAACATCTGCGGTCTGTGATCTGCTCCATGTGTTTTAAGTGATTTTCAGTTTGAATCCTAGCATGGCTCTTTGAAGGGCAATGTTATGTATTTCACTGTTAATAAAAATATTTTGTAGATGAGGTAGTACTGTGTTGACTTTATGTGATATACTCAGTGATTTTCTCATTTTAGAGAAACCTACAGGCATTTTTTGCTTGAAGTGAGGAAGGTCTAGTATCAATTTTCTCCCTTTAAAGTATCATTATTAGAGTGAAACATCTTTGGAGATGTGGGGCAGGAGGTTTGTTACAAGGTGTAGTATTAAATCAGTGTTTGAGCTCTTTAAACGGTTATTGTGTCTTGACTGTGAAGTGATGTAATTAAATGTATTGCGGCCCAGAAACAGTTACCCTCTTAATATACATCTACTCCCCTGGTTAATGTAATTCCTTAGTGATGATGCAAGAATAGATAAAAGATGCTTTAGCAGTACAAAATAGTTTGATGTACATGACATCATTTTGCTATTGTTTCTTGTTACTTGGGTTTGGAGGTATTTACCTTACTGTCAAGTCAGTCTTACCTGAACTGAATTCTTCGCTATAACTGGAAACTTGTGAATGCGAGACAGTTTTGCGAAATGTGTCAAGTGTAGCTTGTTGGCCTAAACGCCAGTATTTCTTGTGAATTGACTCCAGAGGAGCCTTTTTTAAGTTTGATTCTCTCAGAAGATGGCATAGTACTTCAATATACGTGAACTTTCAGAAAGTACTGTTTAGACTCTGTGTAGTGGGGATCTGTAGAGTTTATTAAGGTCTAGATTTTCACATGGCACACAAGTTGGCATATGCATAAACGAAAAAGACCTAGATCAGTATCATATATAACTGAATAGCTCTGGTATGTAATAGATTTGATACTGTGTTGTTATTTGTAAGATCCTAATGTGAAGGTTTATGGTGATAGTAATGAGTTAGTGCAGTCCAGTAGCGTTACAAAAAAATAATTATAACTGCTTTCTGAGAAAGTAATTTGATTTTATTATCTTAATATCTGGAAACTAGGTAACGTGCAATTGTAGGCAAATGATAATTTGTGTTTATATATTACATGCCCTGCGAAATTTTACGTAAGTAAAACTGTCTGCTTGTGAAGGTGATGCTCAAGTTCACATTTCCTTGAGCTAAGCAACCAGTGTTAGATCTGCTTTAAAGGAAGAAGTGAAGGGGTATTTACCAAAGAAAGGGCAGGTGGACATAAGTGTTTTTAAGCCTACCGACTTCACTACCGCAGCAGAGAACTTCTCAGCAGGAGTGATGTCAGCTGATAGTTTCCTCCAACTGTTGTTCCTTTGAAGGGGTACCCTGGACAATTTCTTTCCCTTGCTGCAGTAGCTTTTCTTCATTGTACTGTAACTGTAGCACGAGTAGGAAAGAGTGTAGGAGTGTATTAAATTGGTGAGGGAAAAATATTTTAAATAGTTGCAGCTTGTTACAGAATGTGGGTTGTTACCATGGGGCTCTCCGTTTCATTAAAAGTGGAGCCTCAATATAGCAGCAGTGTTTGGTTTTTTAATGAGCAATGAATCATTCTTTTGCAAAATAACAGAAAGGATACTCATTTTGCAAAAGCTGACAGTATAAAAATACGATTTTCATTTTAGAATAAACACTTCTGGAACAGCCTTGTGTTTGGTTTTTTTAAATTTTATTATGCATTTTCATAATTTTTATAGTGCTCATTTTAGTACTGTCATTCTCTTACATTTTAAGGTTCCATTTGAATTCTTAGTTTGTTCCTGGATCTTCAACATTTATAGTAGCACTGATTCTAGAAAAGCCAATCTCTGTTATGCTGCTTCTCTGAAAGTTAAGTATGCTTCATATTGTGCCTCGAGAGATCCTCTGGTGAGTCACCATTATAAGAGTTTTCCAGATGCTGCATGTAATTGAAGATAATATCATGTATGTAATGTGCTTTGTGCAGTAATGGTATCTCCAGCTGCAGCTGTTGGCAGCTGACTGGCAGAGAACTCATACTTCATAAAACAAGTTGCTACCACTTGAAATTGCAAGACACTGTTTTGGAGTTTTGGAATTTTGGCAATTTGCAAAGACTGGTGAAAGTCACCAAAGATAGCTTGGTAGGTCTGGAGGTGTCTTATAGTTCTGCAGGGCTGTAGGATGCCTTGCAGTGCTTTGTGTGCCAATGCTAGCCAGGCACTGTCATACTTCATGGATTCATCAGGCACTTGCAGACTCTTGCAAGCTGCATAATGGCTTTTTGATTGTCTTAACTGGAAACTTTCTGTCGGTCTCTAACTTCCTAACACCAACAAACTGGGGATTTCAGCTCCCTCTAAGGATTTGTAATTTTATTGCTAAATACCATGAACTCATAAGAAATTATATTTCTCAGATTTTAAAATGGCAAGTAAACTGCAAATATACTGCATTAAGGGGGTGGATCGTGTGCTGTCTAAAGAGAAAGGTTTTTTCCTGAAAAAGCTGACATAAACTTGTCCACTCAGAGCAGAGACTTTGTGCTATCAGTTTTTTAAGTGGGCCATGATTAGAGATGAACAGCTTCTTAAAACAGAAACACTATTCATCAGCTGGTATAACTTTGCCTCCAATATAGTAAGCACTGGAATCTTTTGGCAGATTGTAGTTATATGCTTTTCTCACCCTTTGTATTTTTCCTTTAATGTCAGGTTCTTTCAGTGATAGTAGCAGCTCTTTTTCAGCAATAGTTCTTGCTTCAGTTAATATTCTGAACAAGGTTATTCATTGTCATGAAAATCTCAAATGAGTCCTTAAAATTATTGCATTAAAACTCAGTCTATTTCTTTCTCAGTGCATTAAAACCTAATGTATTTCTCTCTCTTCCTACATTCCCCTTTGTTGGGTCATAGTCACCTTGTGATCATACAGCCCTTTTTCTTGCATGGATGGTTTTGGACCTATGAGCAAACATATTAATTGGTAAGAGAGTACCCATGTATGGGGTCTTTCTTCTGAGGAAGACTCTTGTACCTGTCTTGCATAATTTTACATTATTCTATGTCTGTTTGTTTTGTCTTCTTTAAAGTTTGCTTGGACAATGCACTGAAGATCAAGCGAACAAGACTGTGGTTTACAATATGATTATGCTTCTTCTCAATTATGAATGCAACTGTTACAGTACTAATACTTTTACATTCAGATTCTGTTTCTAATCGACATTAGTTCTAGAGCAGTGCTGTTCTTCTCTGTTGTTGAATCAGTTATACAGAGATGGTGTCTACACAGGTGAATTTTAGTGATCTTGTAGCCTTGCTTGAAAGAGAGAAGGGGAGTTTTGGTCTGTTATTTATAGCCTGTTCACACTAAGGTATCTGGATCCTTTGTCTGTAATGCCAAGTATGCTGGCATATACCCAGGCGTTTAGAACAGGTGGTGCCATTGAAGGTGGTGAGTGATAGGCCCTGAACTTGTAGTGTAGCTTTTTTTTAATTGTTTTTTTTTTTTTTTTTCTCTAAGACAAATCAGACTTTTTTTCTAGGAAGCAGAAAAGAAACAAAGAGAACCTTTAGTCAGAAGGTAATGTGAAGAAGACTAGACAGCAAAGACTTGTGGAAGAGATAGAAAGTATATATGCCTGAAGTGAAAACAAATGAGAGGGCATTTGAAGGATTTCATCACAGGTCTTCTGGTTTGTTTGGGGACTTTAGACACTTCAGTGTTTTGGAATGAAATGCAACAGGATGTCACATCATCAGTTGTGTAATACAATGTGTAACCATGCCTATAGAATTAGGCACGTGATAGACGTGACTCAGGAATTTTGAACAGTAAATGCAGCAGATAATATAATATTCTTTCCTTTTGGATTAATCTTTCTAAACCATAAAAGACAATAGCAAACTGTTCTTTGGTTGTGTTTTGGTATTCTCTTTAGTTATTTTTTGTGAAAATTCTAATGTGACAGCGTGTAGTAAATTCTTTATCCCATGCAGCAGCAAAATTCTTTATTCCATGCAGCAAAATAACTTTTTGTGTAATCAGAAAGTTGTTGAAGTTAAACATCTTGGAAGTATTTCTGCATGTATGCGAAGTATTGGTATCTTGTATTTTCCTGAGAAGTAGCATCATGATATTTATAGTATTAGGGTAATTAGCACAATAGCAGTATGTCTAGGTTTCTGTAGTACTTAATATTATAGCAAGAAATTAAATACTCTGGCACACATCAGCCTAATTAAAAGTTAAATGGAGTGGAAGAAATTGTGACAAGACCCTTGAAGAAATATTAAAACATCTAATTAACGAAAGCTTATATTGAGGTTTAGTTTCAAAGTTGAGAACAATAATAAATATAGATCTGTATATTTTCTTTTAGAAGAATTCTTTGGAGGTCATCCTTTGCCCAAAGTATTGTCAATTGGGAAAGGTTTTTCAGAGCCTTGTCTAGTTAAGTTTTTACCATCTTCAGGGATGAACATTTCACAGCCTCTCTAGTCTGTTCTTCAGCTCCAATGTCCCCCATTTGCACATGATTTCTGCTGGAGATGTAGCCACTCTAGATTTGTGTGTATCTGTGCTGTTTTCTAATACATGCTGTGCTATGTCCTAATGCACGTGGCAGTGAGAGCATACCTGAGAAGTTTGCATTCACACACTTCAGGTGTGTACTGACCCTCCCTGCACTGACCACTTGCTAGCTGGAGTGCAGGATCTTGCATGCACTAGGAGGGATGCTGTATTGGTTTAGCCTGGATCATGCAGTCAGTGGGGTGACTTCTGACAGCATCAAAAAAGGGTTTGACTGATGCTGTTATCCCTCCAAAGGCACTGCTACTGTCACTGTATAGACTTCCAATTTTATTTTGGTTTTATTTTCAAGAGGACTCCTTTACTTCAAACTAAGTGCTTCTGTCTAATTTCCTAGTTTCTGTTTAATGTAACTGACGATTCTCTTGCTCTTAAATATGACTAGTTTTGGGCCCATACCCTGTCGGACAATTTTGCTTGTTTGATTCTCGCATACAAAGATTCCCATCTTCACATTTGTTATTATCCAGACCATTCTGCCAAGGGTGGGGCTTGGCCACCACTTTCACCTGTGTCACTACACAGTGGCCCTACAGTTTCAGTCTTTCCTGTGTTCCCAATGCCCTTAGAGTAGCCTTTCTCTTTGTCCTTATCAGCCTTTGCTAGTTTTGGCTTCAGCTGAGCTTTGACTTTCTTAATTCTTCCTTGTAGGCAAAGGCAACACCTCTGTATACCTTTTAGATAATCTGTCCTGTTCCCTCCTGTGCTTGGGCTCAGTCAGGAGTTCTGTGCTCATTCTAGGTGAGAAGCATGGCAGATGACTGGCAGGGATGCCACACTTGCCTTCATCCACAGTGACTGAGATGAAATGTGTTTTCCTCATTTAAAGCATCAGCATCTAATTTTTATGAAATTACTACTCTGCAAATTACTACAGTTTACAACTGAACATAGCTATACTAAAATTAGCTATATTTTAGCTATAACCCATTACATTCCCCAAATCAGTCTGCCAGCTAAGAGCATTTCACTGAGTTAACAAACCAAAGTTTGTTGTCTATTAGAAATGGTACATTGTTTAAAGGATGTGAACAGATGCAGTTCAAGTCTATGGTATGTGCAATTATTCTGCAGATTTTACTTATGTGGTAGATACTTTTAAAATAAATATGGCCTTTAATGTGTCAATTAAAATAATTTCATGCTTAGTGGCTTTTAGTAGATAGATCAGATTTTTTTCTTACATGAACCCCACTTATTGTAATAAACATTTCAGGATTTTTCTTGTGGCTAGTGTATAACATTGTTAAAGCCTTCTGTACTAGGGGTAGTATTATTTTGTGTTCATGTAACTTCTAGTCTGGGCCCTATCTGCTTTTAGTATTTGAAATCAGCCAATAAGAATTACTGAAAAAAGATGCAGATTTTTTTGAGACATACAGAATGTGGACAGCAACTTGTAGCTCTGAGATTAAACCTTTGCCACAGAGATCTCCAAACTGTTTGTGCATGTATTTATCTAAATTTGCCTGAGTACAAGATGTAAGTTTACTTGCTTGTTTTTCACACTAAAAATACAGATCTTACCCAACAGATTAGCAGTGACAATACTGAGCAGATGAAGAATAGTAAAATGCCTGTAAAATTTGAAGCAGGGTTAAAAATCTTCTTGCTTGCAAGGAAAAAAAAAAGTGCCGTGATGCTATTTGGTGCCTTTGAGTACCAGAAAATACCCCAATATATTTTGGCTTTGTGATCGTTGTATAGAAGTAATAAGTAAAAACTCTGCTTGTACAAAAATATCCATCACTTTAGGGTTTTTTTCCTCCTTCTCCTTTGACTAAAGCATAATTGTTGACTGAGTCTTTGCTAGTTAGATCCAGGAAGAAAGGTAGTTCTTGTACCAGTTCAGTTTCAAAAGAATAGTCAATACTAGTTAGTTTTTAGATTTCTTCCTCCTGCAAATAGAAATTTTTATTATAATTAAGGTGTTTTCTTAAACCTCTTGTAGGATACTTACTTTGTCAAATAGCTGGACTACCACCAAATTATAGTCTGACATTTGGGAGGCTATCTGGAAATAGGACTTCTTTGGGATATTTGAAAAAAACAAAAATAGTTGTGGGTTTTTTTTTGGTTTTTTTTTTTGTGCGTGTGCGTGTGTTTTTTGGTTTTTTAGTTTGTTTGTTGTTTTTTTTTTGTGTAACATTTTTCTGATTGTGGCTATATGGGCTGTGTTTTATTTTGTTGGTTACTTTTATATGCTTGCAATTCATAAGAGGCTTCTGGAGGAAAAGGAAGAGGGTATCTTATGTATTCTGGGTATATGATGGTAGTATGTTTCTCTCTTCATTTTCCAATTTGACAATCTTGTTCTTGTAGGCAAAAGAATGGAGTTTTTTTGCATAAATATGTCTTTATTTCTGCTATAGTAAAACTTCTGCTTTAGAAGTTCAGTTCTAGTTCAGCTGCAACTGCATGAGAACGGCTGTGTCAAAATGTAAATAAACCACATCTACCTACTTGGGTGCTTAGTAAAGTTTGTCTGCTTAGCTTTTTCTGTTTTGAGGAGCATTCTAATGATCATGAAAATTTAATTCTTGAACACTTTGACTATAGTTTTTTTTTTCACATCCATAACTTAAAAGTATATATCTTTTTAAGAGTTATATAAATTGACAGACAAAAGAAGTATCCTTTTTGAGCCAGGAGCAGTTTACTGTTGTGCCTGACTTTGAAGATGTAGGCTAAACTGATGGATTCTCTTCAGTAGAAAATTTCTACAATTTCTACATGTGCACTTTGAAGGATACAGTGGTGTTCTGTAAAGCTGCCACAAGCTTCTGTGATAAAGCTTTACCATTACATGCCAATTGTATGTAGATTTCTTGTGTTATGTAGCTAAAGATTGGAAAACTTAGGGCATTTTGGGGGTGTTAGGTTGCTTGATTGTTTTTATTTCCAGATCTTAATTAAAACTGAGCTTTTTCCTGTGTTTCAAAATACAGATTCAGAGAATAAAAATGGGAACTCCTGGATCAGGACGGAAGAGAACTCCAGTGAAAGACAGATTTTCTGCAGAAGATGAAGCTCTAAGCAGCATTGCCAGAGAGGTTTGCTAATTTTAAAGTATCTTGAATTCAGAAATAGAGATGAAAGTAATCTCATTATTCAGGAAGAATTAATTTTTTTAAGATGTGCATGAAAAAGTGTAATTAGCCAAAAATATGACAATTAATATAAGCTAAGAGAATTATTGATCAAAAAATCACATTAACTGAAATGTCTGCATAGTGAGATACTAACTGTATGACTAGTGTAACTTCACAGATTTACACTTAAGCCTAGCAGCTATTTCTACAGATACTTACATGCTTGAAGATAAATGAAAAATCCAGGTGCTATCTCAAGTGTAAAACTAAAAGCATACACATTTATCCTATTACAGTGTGTAGTATTCTTAAGATTGTAACTATAGTGTATTAGTGTTGAATCTGTAGTAGCCATTATTAAAATATGTTTGTAATAGAATCTATTTCAAATGTGAGAAGTCACATTTCTTTCCAAATAAGCCTAATATGTACACTGTACCAGAAATTTCATCACCTAAAAAAAACGATGTTTGTTTGGACCAGAATTTTTCTAGGTGGAAATGCTGTGACTAGGGAACAAAAGCCTTAATACTGTTTGTATACAAGTGGATCCAGGTTCTTTGGGGCTACATTATCTACAAAGCCACTTGCCCTAGTTGACATAAACGAGTGCAAAATGCAGATTCTAATTTCCTTTGTAATATAAATAGTTGTCCGTAAATATGTATGTAAGACAAAATAGGTAGGTTGTAGGTCTCTGAAGAGAAAGCTTCTCTAGGCATTTTCCAAGTGTATCTGTCATAAATTGTAGGCAAAAAGATATGCTTTGTCAGTAAAAAAAACCCAAAAAACTTTAGTTGGTAACTTTTCAGAAAGTAACGTTCACTGTCATGTTCTAGTCCTGATGGAAAGTCTCCCTCTATCAGCCGAGTTCTGTGTGGGACTCTGCATCATGTATGATCTCACTCATCAGGGTCCATCTCTCATTTTTGGGGGAAAACTGTGAATAAAAGAGAATATGGCCTTAAATTTCTTTGAGTATATGCATGCTTCTGTAACATCAACTTGTCATTTAACCTAGAAAAGAATCTCAATGGCAAGATGTAATACATATTATCTTACTTAAAATTACTGTTGGGCTTTGTTCTCTTAAATCTCATCTTTTTAGAAGGCATTACTTACTAGAATTGAAGTGAGTCCTGTAATCCCTGTGTCTTCTGTGGAAAATGTTCCTAAAGGTGTTCTAGTTATTAAGAGATGGTAAACAGAATATGTGGAACCAAAAGGCTGCACTCAGGATGATCTGCGTGGTCAAACTGCGTAAAAGTGCTCTGGGTTTCAGAGCAGTCCCATAATGTCACTAGAAAGTATTGGAATTTGGAATACTAAGAGCTCTGGTAAAGTGACTCTAGTGTATGACATTTCAGGATGGTTTTTCTCTAAAAGTTCAGATTTCAGAAAACGAAACTTTTAATTTGACAAAATTGTGATTTCCTCGTTCTATGGCATGCATCAAAAAGAAAAGTATCTTCCGTTTAATAGCAGTAAACATTGCTTTCTAGGAAACTGGTTTAAAGGATTCTTTGTCACTGATCCACTAAGTTCATTTCCATATAGTCATTTTTCTGCACTGGTTGAATCTGATGTCATTTTATATGAAAATATTTAATGGAAGATAAGGGCTCTATTGTAGGATCTCAGGTGCCTGGTCAGACTGCTTCCTCTTTGATATTTCTTCATTTTTTTTCCATCTTTCCTTCTCATCAGGAAAATTTTTCTTCCTCTGGCTGTCCCCTCCCCTTTATTTCTTGTACTTCTGTTATGTAGAGACCTCTTTCACATCTTTTCCTCGCTGTGGGACTGTGCATTGAGACAAGCATTTTTACAATGTCTCCGTTACACACAGTTGTGCTAAAACATTAACACTGGAGTGAATTTCTGCCTTGTTCCAAGAACTTTTGAGTTACTAAACCTCTTTCTTAGGGGCCTACTTTTTATACTATGGGTGTATTATTTTTCCTGGCATTGAATTTCCTTGCTCAGTGAAACTGAGAAAGAGTAAAGGTGATATCCAGGGACGGGGATATATCTGTGCATCCTTTCCACGAAGCAATGCACTCTCCCTATTTCACAGTGTCTGAAGTGAAATTACTTGCAGTTGATCATTTTGGCAGTCTTATATTGGTACAACAATTTATCATGCTTTTTTCAAAAGCTGCAGGAACAGGTGTAGATATATTGTCCATGTGTTCCTGCAAGGAAATAAAGGAACTGTGTGTGTAAAAGCACTGAACTACACTAAAATGGAGTAGCGATGAGTGTATTCCAATTATAGCAAGGTTAATTTAAAGTCAGCTTATCTCTTAAAAGGAAAAAAAAAGCCTGTCTCCTGAAAGTATAGAGTTCCTTTATATGACCTTTTGGCTCTTTCTCTTGCTTTTGTAATGGATTCTGAAACTGTTAGCTTTCTCAGATTGACAAAGAATAAGTCACCTTGTATAGACGACAGTTTGACCTGTCTTGTGCCAAAGTTCGAGCTTCCCAAAGTACAGATAATGATTGTCTAGTATAACTTCAGGCTCCTGGCAACATTATATTCTCTTTTGTTAAACAAAAAGGATTCCCACGTAACTAGATGACTGAAAACTGAGGTTTATATTCTCAAGGTTATGTTCACGGTCTACATTGAAAACAACTGATACGATCTCAAGATGTGTTTGTTGTGGGGATTTTCTGCTTATTAAATTTTTTGCCAACAGAATATTTTTGGCTGAGTTGTGCATCACTGCTTCACTTGTCTTTGTAGTTTGCAGACAAATTGTTCGTTTTAAATATTTAGCAGTAACCTGTCATCACCATCTTTTAGGATTACGTGAGACCTCTTTTTCCAAAATCAGTCTGATTATGTGAGAACAGAGGTTTCAGTCACTTCCATGTTCTTGCTCGTGGTTCATGCTCAGGTACAATGAATATCATGACAGACTGAGAAGAGTCTGACACGTGCTATCTTGCCATTCTCAACCTGCTAAACAGGAGTTTGAGGGCACAATCAGGATTTACCATTCATAGCCTTTTTTTGGGTATTACCATAAGCAATTCTTCCATTCTTCAGGGCTGTGTAACTAGATGACAGAGAACTAGACCTTGTGGACAAGCAACATTGCAACAATGTTCACTGGATTTCTGCCTTGTAGAATGTTGTCTCTGCGTTTTGGTTTGGTGGGTTTTTTTCAGGAACTGTTCTCATTACTATTTTCATTATATAGCAAGAGTATGGAAAACTCTTAAGGTATTTTCTTATGGGAGAGAAAATTCACTTTGTAGTTGCTCAGCTTTGAGTAGAGTGCGGTTGTTCTTACTTTGACAAAGATGCAGTGTTACTGATTTGCCATGGTACAAGAAGCTGAGTTTTTTTAAATGTTTGAGGACTAGATAATGAATTTAGAAACAGTTTACAACAGTCTTTGTCATATGAATCTATTTAAAGTTTAGTACATGTTTTTATCTTCATGTAGGTTCAGCTTCTGTTAAGAACACAAGCAAAGTCCCAAAGAATTTCATCCTCATGGATATTGTCTTTGTAGATGCTAGGTGATTTTTTTTGTTTTGTTTTAGTAAGAGGTCACTGAATATTTTTCAATTAGCTATTTCTACCTTAGTATTAATTCAAACTCTTGTTTGCTTTTGATTTTAATAGTGGTTAAGGATATTTTACAGGATTTAAGATATTCTACAGATTTTTAATATATATATATGAATCTGTACAATAAATGGAAAAAGAATGAGACATCAGAAATAAAGACTCTTAAACCTTTAAGTCATGATAAAACATAAGACTTTGTTGTTTGTAGGCAGCTGGGGTAGACATCAGAAGTAGAAAAGCGAGATTTCTGAAGAGCCATAAGAAATACTTCTGGCACATAAGTGATGGTGTTGCCTTGATTTCATGAGACAGTATGGAGATAAGGGCAAAAAGCATGGAAATGAGAATACAGAAGAATTGAGCAGCAGAAGGAATCATATAATGGCTTGGATTGAAAGGGACCTTACAGATAATCTAATTCCAATCTCCTGCCATGGGCACAGAATCCTTTGTTTGCTTGATGAGAAAAGATGAAATTAAGTTGCTATACATAGCTATCTATTAAGAATTACGGTGATCTTGTAAACACTCACCGTGATGCTCAGCCAGAGCTGGGGGGGTGTCCTAGTGCCGTTCCCCGCGCCCGTGGCAGACCGGGAGCAGCGGGTCCCACAGCAGGGGCACTCGGTGCCCTCAGCGCTGCCATCTGGTGGAAGAAGTAAAAGGCTCCTTAACCGGGCCTCCTGCCTTGGAAACTGCAGGACTGCATGTCCCTTGGCAGAGACGGTTCTGTGTTACATGTATACATCAGCCCATGATGACAAAATAATTCTAATTTTTTCAGACGTGAATAGCATTTTAACCTTATGAAACTTTTATGCTGAATCTGAGCTAATAAAAGAATAATCTTCTCCAGAGTATAAAAATTAAAAATAGAATATTCTTGCTTTCTAGTGAATTCCTTCTTGCAGTCAAGGGAAGGAAAAGATGCCAGTCTACCCTATGGAGATAGATGTTATGCTTCTCCTTGCTCAACGTGGAGGGAAGCCTCTACCATATAGATTCTATGTTAATGTCATACTGCTTACCAGGGAAAAACATGGTTGCTGCTATGAAGAGACTAAGAAAAATACATTAGAAAGGAGAGACTCCAGATTCAATCTTTACAAAGGCATTCAAGTTAAAGTCTCATCTTCTTTCTTTTCTTCTTTCTTTCTTTCTTGCCAAAAATATCTTTGATTTAACTGAAGAACTACATGTTATACTTGAAAGTTGAGAGAGAAGTTTTCAAAAGATTGTGGTAGAATATGTATTTAAAAACAAGGATGAAAAATTGAAGAAGTAGACGTGAGTTTCTAAATTACTATAAATAGCTTGTAATTGGTTTTGAGGTGAAAATTAGGAAATTGACTGTGTCACCTCCTGGAAGGAGAACGTTGTCTTGCTACCTCTATATTTACTAAACATGTGCATAAAATAAGCCAATCAAAGTGAATACTGCTGTAAGGTACTGCTTAACTGCTTGAAAATAGCCAGGATAATAATCTTCTAGAATGAAAATGCTTTTTATGCAAGTACAAGGAAACACTGGTTTTTTGGGGGGTTTTTTTGTGTGTAATGTTTTTCGGTATCTATTTTGAAATTAGTATTTCCAGAACTCAGTGATGAACAGATTGCTTTGTTTTGTTACTTAGACCAGAGCTAATACCCAAAGGAATACAGGATTGATTTAAAAACACTCATCCCTGGAACTGTTCAGGGCCGGGTTGGATGGGGCACTGAGTGGCCTGTTTTAGCTGATGGCACCTGATCTGGGTGTTGGAACTAGATGATCTTTAAGGTGTCTTCACACCCAAGCCATTCTATGACTTTTTAAACGAGCATCTAATTCTTTCGACTAGCAATGCTGTCTTTAAGGAGTTAGATACATATTCTCTCTGAAATGTCATTCTTTGTTACTTCTGTATTATGATGTTAAAACATTAATTTGTACCTGTGAAGAGATTGAGTACTCAAACCATTATTCAAAAACCTTTTTTTAAACTTTAATTATTTTCCATATGCTTGTAGGCAGAAGCCAGACTTGCAGCAAAACGGGCAGCTCGAGCAGAAGCAAGAGATATACGTATGAGAGAGCTGGAACGACAGCAAAAAGAGGTAGTGTAACTCACCAGGAATTACTTCAAACATTTACAAAAATTCATAATGTATTTTATTTCTGCATTTCCAGAAGATTTTGTCTTTTAGTGTAATTCAGTTTTGTGTGAGTATTTTCAGCATTAGTATTGGATTATACTGAAAGGATTCCCAGTAAATATCTGTTGTCAAGATCTGTATTTTTAAAAAAGGATTTAAACGAGGTAATATTTACACATACAGTTGTGTGTTGCTCCACACATTTCTCCTAAAAAAAAGTTTACCTTTCTTGAGAAAAAAAAAAAATCCTAGAAACTAGGTTTTCAGCGGTCTGGCTATTGCATTAGTTGTTGCATTTAATTCAGGTTTTGACATTGCATGTAAAACATTAAGAATTTATTATTTATTGTGATTACACACAAATCCGTGTAATGCTCATACTCGATTACTATGGGTTTTTTTTCTGTGGTAATAAGCAAAATATGCAAAACATTTTTACTTCAATTTTATATGGTTCTCATTGTGCTGTAGTTTCAGTTTTTGAACTGCTGTGGATAACTGCAGTTATTCTGAAGATTACATGGTAATTAATGTAGATCTTTCTGAGTTTTCAGGTTAGGAATCCAGTCCTGTGTGGTGACTCTAATTTTTATTTTAAATGTTTTGTTTGATTTTCTTTTTACATTCTGTAGTTTTCTCAGCATTCATATGATAGAAAATGGGCTCATATCCAGAAATGGATGGTAGGCTAAAATCACCTGTGCATGTTTCTGCCACTCAGAGAACTAACACAGGATTTTGGATGAAGTAATTTACTAATGGTTTGCTGTGTGTAATTTCAAAGTGTCTAATTATGTATAATATATATATATATATACACACATGCACACATTAAACTGTATATGTATGGGTTCAATTGTATATGTACGTAGTCTAACCCTCCCCCAACTCCCTGTTCCCTTGGGCCCTGTCACTGGTCGCCACAGAAGAGATGAGAGATCCCTGCCTCTCTACTTCCCCTGGTGAGGATGTTCAATACCACAATGAGGATTCCCCTCAGTCTCCTCCAGGCTGAACAGCCACGGTGACCTCAGCTGCTCCTCATTCACCTTCGCCTCCAGCCCTTTCACCATCTTGGTGATACCCTTGTTAGGGCATTCTCTCTAATAGTTTTGTATCTTTCTGGTATTGTGGCACCCAAAACTGCCCCCAGCACTCGAGGTGAGGCTGCACCAATGCAGAGCAGGACAATCCTCTCCCTGTCCAACTGGTGAGGCTGTGCCTGATGCACACAGAACATGGTTAGCCCTCCTGGCTGCCAGGGCACTGCTGACTCATATCCAACTTCATCAACCAGGACCCCCAGGTCCCTTTTTTTGGTGCTGCTCTCCTGTGTTTCATTCCCCAGTCTGTCTGTATGTCCAGGATTGACCCATCCAAAGTGCAGAATCCAGCACTTGCTCTTGTTATAACAACTTCAGATGTGTTGGAGTTTAGGATTTGTTCCATTTTTTTCTTAGGGAATTTCTCTCGCATTTGTTGCCTAAGAGACTGGGACAATGAACACTTGAGAGAAACAAAGGATGTGGCCAAGATGGGGGAAAGAGGTGCAGCTGGCTGCAGTCTCTTAGCTGGGGGACTTCCTCTTTGGATGTGCAGAGATACCGTGAGAGTGTGGCTGGGCTTGTCTCTTGCTCTCTCTCACTCCTGGGATCAGAAGGGAGATGGTTGGGCTGCTGCTGTGGGGAGAATTCATTGTCAATGCAGAGTTCTGTGGTGTACTGCTTTTCTTACCTTGGGTGAGCCTTTGCTCATAAGAGCAGCTGGTGAACTGGGACATTTCCAACACCCGATCTCACTGAGAGGGATCCTCACCATCTGCTCGGGTGCCCCAGGGAAAAACCTGGCACCCTGATCCCCTCCCTCCTCTGGAGGGATCGTCTCCTGGGTGCTTGTGGCAGCTGCTTATAGAAGGCCATCTGCCACTGCCCTGTGCTGCTCTTTTCTGCTGCTGCTTTGGGCTTTTTGCTACATTAACCTGACATCTCATGCCTGCAGAGGTACCCCACAGTGCAGCTCCTGGCACGGCTCTGGAGTTTTTGCTACGCTTTTTACCACCCAGAAACAGGTGTGCCTGCCTATGCTGTTCCAGCCTGTTGCTCCAAGGTCCAGCTACAGTTCCTTTTGCTATCTAGAGGGGCACTGGGACCGGCTGCCCCCGTGAGTTTGTAAAGGAAGCTCCTTCTCCATCCCTTCCCGTCGGCTGTGCCGCCATTCCCGTGTGGAGAGAGGCAGCTGGGCCCGCGCCACAGCGCCCCCTGCAGGCGCGGGGGAATCATCGCACCCGCCCTGCCCGGCCGGGAGCCACCAGCGCCCCTGGCGGCTGTGACCGGAACTGCTCCAAAGGGGAAAGTGCCCCACAGCCCCGAGAAGGCTGGCACTGCCTCTGGGGCCTGCTGGCTGTGGTTAATGCTGCAGCTGGGGTTGTTTGCTTGCCTTGTTATTTATACACACAAACACACTATTAAAGAACTGTTATTCCTTTTCCCATATCTTTGCCTGACAGCCCTGTAATGTCAAAGTTATCATAATTTGGAAGAAAGAGTGTCACATTTTCTATTCCAAGGGATGTTCCCATCTTCCCTGGCATGTACCTGTTTTTTGAACCAAGACACTATGGTTGATGCATGCCCTTCTCTCTGATTTGCCAGGGTCTTGCTGTGGGGCCTCCCTGACCTTGAGCTCCTCCCATTTGGTGTCATTGGCAAACTTACTATTCATTGAGTTCTGCATCCAAGTAATTTATGAGGAGACCTGGACCTAAGATGAACCTGTGGAACCCTACCAGTGACCTGATGCCAGTTTGATGTCACCCCATTCACTACCACCCTTTGTGCCCAACTTGTGATTCAGCTGTTCATTCACTGCATAACATGGTTATCCAGCTGTGTGTAGGCCACTTTGCCCAGAAGAATCCTTTGAGAGTATCAAAAGCTTTGCAGAAGTCAAAAAGGATGCAATCTAATGACTTTCCTAGGTCACCTAGGTGAATTACCCTGTTGTATAACAAAATGACGTTCAACAAGCAGGAGTTTCCCCTCATGAAGCCATACTGGCTGTGACCAATGACTGAGTTGTCCCCCAGGTGTTTCTCAGTACCTCCCAGAATAGCATTTTCCATGATTTTACCCAGCACTGGAGTGAGACTGACTTAATTGCAAAGTTTCTTTAGAAGGTATTTTCACACACTTCATGTGCCTCTTCAAAGGGTATATGGGAGATGTCAGGGGTTTTTCTGGCTTTTAGTAAAAAAACCTAAAAGTGTGGGAATGTGTGAGAATGTTTTGAATCAGTAAGATTTAAGTAATTAGATTTTATGAGTTATTATTTTATGTCAACTCAGATTTTATGAGTTGGGTTTATTATTTACACTGCCACTGTAGAGCAAAACTAGCTGTAGAACTTAAAACTGATCAATTTACTTTTTTCCTGCAATAGAGAAGAAAATGCAAAATATGTATGAGGCAACTGAGAATAATAATTTCTGTTAGGGCTAAAATAACTTTGGAAATTACTTAAAATCTGAATGTAGTAATTATATGATACATTTCTTACTAGTGTACTTGTAATTTTGTAAAACTCTATATTTTTCTTTTAATTTCTTAATTCAAACAATTTTGTGGTTTTTTTCCTGCATCAGTATATTAATCCTAAGAAAGACTGACTACTGAACACTAATTATTGATTTTATTAGCCTGCCTTGTTTACATCCTCGAGTGTATTATTTTGGCATACTTAACCCAAATCAGGTGAAATGAGTTCTTCTGACTTGAATGAGTTTACTTGCCACCATGGATTATTCAAAATGACACATAGCATTAAAGGTGCTAACAGCATGCTGCTCACTTTGGCTTCCTGGTATTGTGTCAGGATTTTTTTTCCCCTTCCTTATGAAATAACTCTGCATTTCTTCTTTCTCAGGAAGATGCAGAGAGGGCCAGATACTCTCACCAGTCCAGTCGACATTCACATTTGGTTTGTGTTCAAACTGTATACTTTTTTTTTTTTGATCATGGCCTTCAGAAACCAAACCAAAGGACAAAAAAGATTTGGGTTCTGGTTCCTTTTTCTGATGGAGAGGATGAAACTTCACATCTCCTAAATATCTGCAGTTTTAGTCATTTTAAGTCACGTATAATGTTTAAATTCACCTGGTATTTTATTTCCGTCAGTGTTAAAAAAGTAGTTTATATGTTCCAATCTTCCAGTCTTTTCTTGCACTTTAAGTATTACTGTGCTTCTGTAGTATTTATGAAAGAAAAGGTATCAGTACCTTAAGATATAATTTGAAAAATAGTTTGGCACAATGCAAAATTCCTTCTTTGAGAAGGTGGGCACATATTATTCATTAATGGCAAAAATCTTAGCCGAATGATGTAAGGTGTCCCAAAATCTGCTAACAGAAATAATTATTGTATAAGCTCTTCTATATCATCTTTAGGCCATGTATATATTGCTAAAGAACGTTTTTATTGAGGTTATGTTAACATTTTCCTGGCCTTGGATCTGCTTAGAAATTAAGCTGGTCATTGATCTGGGTATATAGACCAGGAAAGGGACAAATTACTAAAAAAAAGGGGTTGGTTTTATGTATTTTGGAAGATTGTCAGTTGCTCAGAGGTCTTTGCAATTAAATGTAGTTTTTGATTAACTGAATTTTGTGTAATGCTGTGCAAGCCCTAGTGTTAAAGGTTTCTGCAATTTGCTGCACACAAATAATTTTGAACAGTAAATGCTTTATCAAGAAAACAGGTAAAATATGCTATGTACAACTCTTAGGAACTTGTGAGCTGGTATAGATTTGCTCAGATCTGCTCTTGTCTTGGCTGACATAGCAAATATGCTAAAATGGAGACTAAGTAATTGACCATTGTCTAAACAAGAGGGTTTGAATTGGGCAGATAACTAAACTCATTTTTGGGGGGCTTATTTAGAATTTCTTTGACTGCCTTGGTTATTTTCTGTCATTTAGTGAAGAGTAATAGAAATAAATTTAACTATTTATTTCATATCTTGATATATTTTTTATAATTTCATTCTCAAGAGTTCCTCAGATTTCAGTACATCTCGCAGGAGCAGAGCAAGTACCTCCAAAGGGAGAGATCTTTTGGTGTGTAACCTGGAATGAGCATGCTTTTTTTTTTTTTTTAGAATGTGGTGTGTTCACATTGTACCATTTTCTGTGTCTACTTACCAAAGCAGTAGTTTGGTGAAAGCATGCCTATAGAAAATGGTATTAATGGGACTGCTGCAATGATTGGTGTAATCAAGTACTTTGTGATAGCAAATGTGAGAGCTGAAAGAAAATGCTAAGTGAGCTTATCTTCAAGACAGAACACTTACTGAAAGGAATTCATCTCTTCAGTTGCTCTCTTGCAATGTCCCCAGTAGAGAAGTAAAATAAAATGGAAGAAGGTTGTCCATCAGCCTTGATAGGTACAAACATGTTGTTGGAAGTTTAATTCCTCCCTGATCACAAAATGCTCTCTCCCCTTCCACTTGTAAGGTCCCTGTGCCCTGTAGGCAGTGACCTTCCTGAGCCTGTAAGGTGCCCTGGAAGGTCATTGTGTCATGATGAGCTGCACAACTCAACAAGGGGGCTGATGATCTTTTAGTGTGTGGAGATGAGCTTTTTGTTACATAATTTTAATGTAAATGCTCTCTCAATTTAATGAAATATGAGACTTGGCTTAATTCTTTAAAATTCTGTTGCTAAAATCACATGAAATATATCACATAGCATAGTGCTGTCCAAAATTATCTCACTTTTCATAAATTGGGATGTTGTTGCAGAAAAAGATTAGTTTTTATTAAGTGGTCCAGCCTCAGAAAGCACTTCAGAGCTGGATGAATGGATCTTCCTTCATGTTTGAATTTTCATAATTGGTGGAATATGTTTTCTTGTAGTTTTCCTGTAGGTCTTTTTAGTCATTCTTTTTTTAAAAAAAAGCAATTTTAACGTTGTAATTTTTACTTTGTTTAATTTTCTTTTACTTTAGTATGACAACACTAAGGATATATCTGCTAGATATTTGATCCCTGTATATTAATACTTTGCATGTCTTTGAGTGAAGACTGTTTTTGTGCTTTGTTTCTAAGGTGTAATGGTACTAACTACTGACTTTAAATTCTTGACTTTGAAAAGTATATAAATTTGTACTGTCACGTGTTCAGACCTAGAATAGTTTTGTAATTCTAACACTTTGTGTAGACCACATGTGTAAGTTTTTTAAGGGAGAAAAGACAACTGTCTTACAGTAAACACTTTCTAGTATTGAGTTGTTATTTCCAAACTTTGTAGTGAAGTAACATACAGATTAGACTTGCAGGACGTCCTTAGGGGAAAAAAGTGTATGTGCATCTATTTGTATTCTCCATTACCACATAGAAATTCAACTTAATCTAATGGAATATTTTAGTCCAGAGAAAAAGCAGGTTTGTATATCTTCATATAGCAGGTTTGTATATCTTTACTTAAAAGACTTCTTTCATATTTTTATGAAGTGACAGTAGATTGCATCACATTCTCAGTGGTATTATGCAGCATAAGATCTGTGTATTTCTTAAGAAAAGGCAAGCATCAAGTACCAAAAGGAGTATGTAAGCAGCTTAAAAAGGCTTATTTGTTTAAACAGCAGTGTTATCTGACTTACCTATCAGATAGGCAAACTCAATATAGTGCTTAAATTAGTTTGTATTGTTAAGCTTTTTTAGTTTGTTTATTGCATAAATTTTTTTTGTGAAATGTGAGCACTAGCTTTAAGCCAAGCCTATGTTAGTGAGAATAGGGTTGATTATAGTTTCACTTGCCAGTTCTTTTTCACACAGTGATAGAAGCATGGCCAATTTTTTTTCTAATTATGTAGATAGAATTTCATGTGTTGTTTCTGTTTTAGGGGATAAAACTCTTATGTCTGTCTTCTTTATATTTTAATATTGAAGTGTTATGTAGTGGTATTAATTCTCTAAATTTTATTCTTAGAGTCATGCTTACAATTAATCTCAAAGTTCAGATGAGAAAGCTCTTTATTCCCATAAAGGTTGATAAGTGTGTAGCGTCATGGATAAATTTGTTAGCTTCCTGACATAAATGTTTCTAGGAAAAAAGACACCTCATATTGATCAGATTCTGACCTCAATTTGTGTTTGAAACTGTGTTCGTATCAGTGCAATACCATCAATGGAATCAGCTGAATAGAAATTTTGTTCTGCTGGAGACCTGGAAAAGGTTCTTGGAACTCTTTAAAGGTGGCACTTCTCTGGATTAAAGCTTATTCAGTCGGGATGGAGATACATGTTCTATTACTCCCCCTTTGTCCCCTATCACATAGTTAGAAACATTTTAAATGCAGATGTACAGCAGATTGAATTTGCCATAGACCTTGATGTTAATCCAGTGATTTATTGAGAAAGGCATGGGAATTATTGTAATTCTGCATAAACTATTCCAGAAAGTTCAGTGTTTAACATGTGGATATAGTGTCAATAAATGAAATATTTTGGATGTAATTTTTTAGACGGCTTTTGGTACTAATGAATTAGCACTTGCATTAGGTGTTAGGGTGGTCAGAACAGCAGTGGATATTTGTGTTGAGACTAGGCTGAAGTAATTTTGTATTTTCTTATTATTGTATTACAGCATTTCTCTATGTGCTTTTGAAGTGCTGTTTTCCTGTTCCCTTAGTTCCTAAACAAATGAGCAATATGAATATTTCTGCTTTCTGTTGCCTATTGAGATAAGAAATGCTGTGTTCTGCACACACTGCTTTTTGCCATGTTTTTATCTGTCTGGTTTTTCTTTTTTGTATGTGTGTATGAATTTTTTGCCTCACATGTTCGTATATATGCAACTTGTGTAGAGTGTCAAAACCCAGCACAAATAAGCCAAAGTATAATTGCTAAACTTTCAGTAAGTGCACTTGGTGTAAAGAACAGTGGCAGGGTACAGGCTATGCTGGTGTCACATAAACATCCAACCCCAATTCAATTACTAGGGATTTCTCTTGCCAAAATGCTTCTCTCTCCCCAAAATGCTTTGATTCATGATGGTATCTAATGAAAAAAAGATGAAGTAAATAATTTAAATAACTGTACTAATTATTAGCAAGTCTTGTCAATTTTTTTTCATGTATTTCCTGCTGCACTTGTCAAGCTTTTGGAGTTTTCTTATTTATTATGGAGGAAAAATACCAAAATTATTTCCTGTTTTGTTTGAGCATGGCATTAGAAATACAGATAATGTTGATATACAGAGTGCATAGTAATTTTTGGGCTTTTATTCTTTACTTGCTTAAAAAAGTTACATGGATTTTGGGTCAGCAGTAGGGAAAACATTACAGCATTGTGTACAAGGTCTGAGCTTGGGAATACTTGGGCAATGTTAAAATAAAACTTTTGTTTGCAAGATCTACAGGTGCAACCTTTGTCTTCTCTCTTCTTTCCTTCCTTACCCCTCAGAGTGGAATTTACTATGATCAAAGAAATTATAGCAGCCTTGGATTTAGTAAACCAGTTCCTTCCTACCATGTTCGGGTCTGTCTCCTCTTTTTATATTAATTTAATTACTTATATAAAATGCATTTATGTGGTTTTGCATACTTATGCCATATGATGCTAACTTACCTCTCTATGACACTTACAATTATTACAGTTAAAAGTGGTAACAGTTGTATTTTTTACTTGTAAGGTTGTATGTTATAAAATTCATGTATAACATGCAGGTTACTTTGTTTTGCATGTGAGGTTTTAAGTTTAAAATATCTTCTGTTTCATGGTTCTGTATGATATACAGAAAACAACCAGCAGCTGTGACAGTTGCTGTTTCAAATTCCTGTCTTTAAAAAACAATTTAAAAAATCTTAAATGTTTAGCACCATTGTGGTACTTTTTCCCAACTTAATATAAATGATAAAACATTGATATGTCACGAGATGAGTAATATCTTCCAGTACCTGCAGCTGTGGTCATGGCCAGGTTTAAATAACTAGCTAGAGGAACTTGACATGTTATTTGAGAACTATGTGATTTTTTCACTCTCTTCCACAAATCCAGTTGCAAAAATACTAGACTGGTTTAATAATGTTTAAATTGATTTCAAAGATCATGAGTTTTCCTGGAGGCTCTTCCACTCTTTTCTGAAAGTTTCTGTCTACTATAGATAGATTAAAATTTAGTATTTAAATCTTTAGGACTTCTGTGGAATGTAGAGCATAGATGAAAAAAATATTATGTATGCAGAAAAAGTATTTCTGACTTATTCCATTCTTCACATTATAGTCATCTTCTCTATACAGTGATCCAGTGGCACCAACTAGGAATTACAGGGTTAGTACAATGCAAAACAATATCTTACTTACCTTTAGATGTTTGAATGGCCCAATATAAATATAAAATTACACTTTTCTTCACAGGTGTCTCCTTTAAACACTGCTTTGATAAAGAAGTATCAGTTTGTTTTGTAATCACTATTTGCATGGTTGCCTTAAATTTGTATTGTGTGGCCATGAGGCTTGACAGTATAACATGTGCATTTTTTGGATAATTTTAAAGTTGCATTTTCTGTGTATAATTTTCTGGAGGCCTTTCAGTTTAATTTTCTTAACATTGTTAACTTGCCTCTTTAAAGTATTTTAGTAGTTGCTGTTTTACTGCTCTTTTTACAGACAAACATAAAGTTGGTGAGCACAACAATAATGTTGAAGAACACTGGGGTTAGAACAAGTTAATTCAAGCATACTAAATAACAACTGCATGTATAATACTAAAAAAAGTATTTTTAAAAGTTAAACATTTGAATGGAAATCAGGAGATTACTGAAGTTTGTAGTAAATGCACCTTGAATACGTTTAAATAGGATGCCTTATTTAAATTGAACAGACATAAAAAAAATGCAATAGCGTGAAAACCTAATCTGCATCTTTATAGAATAAAGAGTAGCTAGTAGTGCCATAAGAATGGCAAAGTAAGCTCTACAAAAAATTATGTTTAAGAAGTGGCATGAACATCTGTATCTTTATGCCTTTTGCTGCTATAGTAGTTCAAATCCATCTTACACTGCCATTTAGACACATGATAAACCTATGTAAAAAAATCATCAAATATTATGTAATATTTTCAATTAGTTAGTGAGATCTTCCTTTGCACTTGGATTAAAAACAGATGATTTACCTTTTTTTGGCGTTGTGTATGTTCTCAAGAAAGCGTTAGAAGATTCAGTGAGAGAACAATATCATAAAGACTGCTATTACATATAACTCTGATATACATCTAATTCTAATTTCTGCTAGAGGTTTCTTCATAGGGAGGAGCAAAGCAGCATGAAACAGTAATTCTTTTTCTCTTTAAATTGTGTTTCTCAGAGCTGCTTTTATTATCCACTGCATAAATAGATTTCAGACTTGCACTTTAAACATAAGTCTTTCAGGAGAATATGCATGGGTGAGTGTAAAATAAAACCACAAAGGGTACAGCATAGCTTCAGTTCCTAGGGTGTGCTAAAATTTCTGCAGGCTTCAGAGCAGTTAAAACCAAATTGCAATTTAAATGTTTAATTTAATTATTCAAATAATTAAAATTTTATTTCTTTAAACTATTTGGCTATTTTTCAAGGGAATTCTTAGTGGCACATGGAAATAGGCATGCCTAGTAGTAATAGTAAATGCTGGTGAGAATCTTATTTTTTTTTACACAAAGAAGTATGCTACTAACTGGAAACAGATAGGATAAGAGAGTATGTGACTGTGCATAGGAATTACAGTGTTTGAGTGTGGCATGGTAATGACTGAGACTGGATATACATGCTGCTTCATTCCTTGTTTCTCAGGCCTCATTGTATGGTGATGGGTGACAACTCAAATAGTTCTTGCACTCTTAGTGTAATAGGCCTTTGGTTGTTTCTTTCATTATTTTTGTTTTCTGCAGACAAAAATCTATGAAAGTTGTGAAAATGTCCTTCATAACTTTTCTTTAGCCATCTGAATACAGTTATTCTTCGAGAGCAAGCTCAGGCCGAAGTAGTCCTGTGGTGAGCATTCCTATGCATGATTTGCTGAATGCTTTGATATTAACACATCAGCAGTTATGAGTACACCCACTTGGGAATGTTTCACTGACCAACACACAGATTTGATTTTTCCATTCTGCATAACAAGTTTTGATTTGTCAGAGATGTGATTTTTAGCAAGATTTAAATTTTTAGCCGTAAGACAATAAACTGTAGAAGGTATTTGTTTTTCTAAATATATTTTTAATGTTTATAATAAACAATTGAAGTATAACTGAAGTATAGTACATTGTAGGGGCTACCACCCTATGTCATAAATGGGGCAAGCACATGAAACATACTACAGTACATGTGGAAAAGTCTTTCCTTTGGGGAAGAGGATTAATGGAAACTGTTATATCATGCAGTAAGTTTGCTCATTTTTATGGTAACCAGTATCCAAAATGAGAGAAAGTTGTTTCTGGATCTGTATTGTATTAAAAGTGTCATTCTAAAGTTGTTTTTTTGTGCTGCAAAGTGATTTTAAAGAGTTTTACTTTGCTTCTGCCACAGAACAATTGTCTAATTCATTGATACAGCTGATCATTTGTCATGCTACACAAAACAGAAAAGTGATCAGTTTTGTAGTATGGGCCAAATTGAAATGTTCAATCCTTTTTTAATTTTCTCACATATTATAGGTACTCACAGTGTTTTAGGTACTAAACAAATAAAACCACATTTGTCAGAAACTAATGTTTTTAGCTACAAGAGATATCAGAGTGAATTTTTGAGGGTGTCAGAAAGAGGTAATTTTGCAGTTGCTTTATGAAGTTCTGAAACCTAACAGATATTGACATACATATGTAGTCTCTTGCACTGTGAAAACACTACTTGTCTCCTTATTTTTTTTAACATTGAGATTAATTTCTTAAAAGCATGTACTTTGAGATATATAGGAATATACATATCTATATATATATAATCAGATCTCACTATGTATATGTTATACCAGTTAATGCCAAGGTACATTCACTCACTCTAGTGAATGCTTAATAGACTTCAAAGTATTCGTTTAATGAAATAATCCTGAAAAGCAGATGAGATAAAAGTCTTATGAATAATTTAACATTCATTTCCTACTGTTTCTGTGGCTTGTATTTTGGTTTTACTCTGGATAATACATTTGAAGTCAGCTTAGTACTCTCTGGAAATCAGAAGAGCAGCTAGGAGATGGAAAAGGTAGAAAACACTTGTGAGAAACTGTATGATACTTCTCAATCTTAAAATGTATCACTTTTGATGAACCCATTGGGTAAGATACTAGGAGTACAAAAAGTATAGAAAGAGACACAGCAAGGTTCATCAGGTGTATGGACTTCTTAACAGGAAAGAGAAGCGGATTTTGAATGAAAGACCAGTATTGTCATTGTAGACCGAGTTGTTTGTTCTTTTGCTGTAAACGTAATAAATAAGAATTTTCTTCAGTATCTTTATACTTTGTGAAATGCAAGTGCAAAAGCCAAACTTCCAACTATCAAAATTTACCTACCTAGCTACATTTAATGAAATTAAGATACTATTTTAAATATAGATGTAGCTGGAAAATTTGTTGTCAGAGAAATAGAATATAATATATCAAAGACAACAAATACAAATTCTCTAGTCCTGAAATAGCATAATCTGAGCCAGGTGTTCATCAGTAAACTGTTTTTGTATACCAGTTATATATGGAATTTTAAGACGTCTCACTATCTTTTACTCAGAATGAGGCCACGCATATATCAAGTATAAAGATTTCTTTTTTAAATGCTGAAAATTAGATAAGAACAATATATTTTCAAACTGTGTGTATGAGCACTTTTTCTCCTATAACCACTTTCACTGGGAACATTGTACTTAGTTTAACTTTCTTCCTTTTAAAGTAGAATATTATCAATAAGCTTATGATAAACCCGCTCTTCCCATTAAATACTGTGTTTTACATGCATAATGTTTCTCAGTTGAATATTTCACTTGAATTCCCATGGCAGATGTAATTGCTGTAATGTGCTTAGATATATTTTGCCTTTTCTAAGAAGAAATGTGTAGCACTAGCATTTTTCCCCACCCTTTTAGGTGCCTGTCTGACATACATCTTTGGGAAGTAACTTTGCCTTCTAGTTTAAGATGTCTTAAACTTAGGAATGAGAAGAAGCCCAGATGATAGCTAGCACTGTTTGGTTTGTGTTGATTTGGAAAAAAAAAAATGTAGAGAAAAATAATAATTTTTATTTATCAATTTATATGATCTGCAAACTTCCAAAAATTTTTGTGGTTTGTGTTTGACCCTAAATTAGTACTAAACCCTTTGGTATCTGGTTGTATGCTTACTCTAATTGAGGAAAGTGAATCAATAATAAATGTTCATTGTTTTTAGTGCAATAATAGATTTAAGGTAGGATTTTTTTGGTTTTTAATAAACGTTTGCTCATTCGGAAGTGTCATCTTCAGTTCTCTTTCACCTTGTCCTTATCTTTTGAAGTCCTCTGATTTTTCTGATCAAAGTGAAACTACTGCTGACTATTTTAGTCGTTCCTGCCGCAGGGGAAGCATTGTTTCCGATGCAGATGATGGCCAAGTTTTGAATAGTGTGAGTGTAATGCTTTTATTTACACTGTGGTGAATACAGCAAAACCATGGATTTTCTTTTCATACTGTGAAAGAGTAAACACTGTAAAAGCATTCTAAATTACTTAATTGCAAATAGGTTTTATTGCGGGATTGGGGCTTGTTTTCATATAAAAATGCGCTGAGTGAATTTTTAAAAGGCATGCTGCTTTATTTTAAAGGAGATTTTGCCTGTTGCTAGAAGCATGTGACAAGTGTAACACTTCACATTTTTGTGTGTGTGTGATAAGCTTAACGATCTCTTAAAGAACCAAATATTTTACATTTTTTTCTTTCAGAAGTTAGCAGTGCTAGGGGGGTTTAGCGTACTTTCGGAATATTATTACTTCTTTTAGTAGCAAAAATATTTTGTCAGAATATTATTACTTCTTTTAGTGACAAAAATACTTAGAACTGTGCTCACATGAGTATCTTTTAGTGTTCCTTCATCCCATATGAGATTTTTGTCAGAATCCATTACTGAAGCACTCCTTGTTGGTTATGCACTTATACGGAATTCTGTGTCAATCAACAGATCATGTTACAGTAAAATTATCATGATGGTTTTCCTGTGCAGCTCCCTTTAGGCTGAACATTGTTTATACCAAACCTAGCCACCTTCCCTTTCTCACTTTCTGTGACTTAGCATTTAGATGATATTTTAATACTAATACAATGCTATATAAGTTGTAATAATTAATGTTATTTATCATCTGTACATTCTGAAATCATGAGAGACTAATTATTTCTCCAGCTTAAATTTTAGCGCTCTTTTATCCCATAATAAAGCTGACTTTCAGAAATTAATGCTCTGCTAAAAGAAATGTGGAGGCTGAGACTGGTAGTTATGCTGCCTTCTCAGTTGCTTGTGTTATCATCATTATTTATTATTAGATTCAAAATTTATATTTTTAATTTAGGTTAGTCTAAATGTCTCCTGATCAATTGGATTCTTCACATCATTCTGTCATCATACATACAAGTATTTGCAATGTGTAATTTCAGTACATCTTTGGAGGTTGTGAATTTGTCATGAAGATGATGTTGCTTTTATAGAAGCCACAATAGGAGAAAAAAGAAAAATCATAGTAGTGTTTGTTTCTTCTGTGATTGCAATAGACTTCTGAAACTCCTTTCCCTGGCATAGAGAAAAACAGGTGTTCTTTGGGAAGCAAGATATGTGAGATACCTTGTTAAATACGTGTCTAATCACACCTATTCTGATTCACAGAAATGTAGAAAATGGGGACATCTACAATATAATTTTGCAATAGCAGTTTCCTAAGTAAGAAGAGAGTGTGGTAGTTCTTGTGCTTAGTCTTCAGTCTATATAAAATATGAATTGAAATTATTTTGTAGATTGCTTTTCCTTAGTACACTTTAGTTATAGGCTTTTACCTGAACTAGTTTTATTGTGATGTAGTCGCAGGTGACACTAAGATTGAAATTTCAGACGTATTTTCTATTAACCAGGGCATTCACACTGCTGTCACTGACTGCCTTAAGTGTACCTGCATGAAGCTTTGCATCAGTTGTGCCACCAAGTATTGTAATGATTACTCTGTTGAAATTTAAAATACTAAAACATGTTTTGTTGCTCAGTACTGGTAAGGACATTTAAAAAACTTTTAAAAAGTTTCTGGCTTTTTTTCTTTACAAGCAGTCATATATTTTGCAGTTGAGGTAAAAACTACTTTTTTAGGCTGAATATTGTTTTTCCTGTGTTGATCTGTGCTAACATCTGGAATTTTTAAAATTGTTTCATTTTTAAATATTTCTCAGTCTCTTTGAACAAAAGATGCTGATTTGGTAGTCCCTTATTACAAAAGGTAATCATGTTCCCTATTCTCTTTCAGCTGGAAGAAAAGAGTGAAAAATCACATTCAGAAATATTTTCAAGGGTAAGAGTTTTTAATTTTAAAATTATTGTTCATTTACAAATTTGCAAGTGTTGATACAGTTCAAAAAGTATAAATTCTGTGTATTTTTTGTTGGGGTTAGCTTACAAAGATATTTTTAGATATACTTCTTTATTGCCCAAAATTAATGCTTTGTGCCTTTTATTTCTTGAGGAAAAAATTTATTCTTTAGTTTACCTTTGGCCAGTAATTATTTTCTATACAATTTATTTTTCATGTGAGAAATACTTACCAGGAAAGGCTAAAATTTAGGAGACTAAGGCTATAAAAATCCATATGGTAGATTCTCATTGTAGACTTTCTTCTGAATCCTGGATGGCAGAAATTATAATATTTAGAAATACTGTAAATATCTACAGTATTTCAGCAGTATTAGACATCTTATTAATGTCTTCTGGACAGATGACTCAAAATTCTAATGTTCTTATACATTAAGTCGTCAACAAGAAACCAACATTTTACCAAGAAGAAACACAAGTGCTGGAAAATAATAAATGGAAAATACTGTCTGTAAGCTTATATTAAGAAAAACAAGAGAGAAAACTGTTCTGTGATTTTGAAGAAATTTATAAAAAGTATTATCAAGTATACCAGAAATAACCATGTGATTCCTGATACAATGTTTTTCCCTTTTTTAAGCCCTCATCTCGCAATTCAGTAAGCGCAACTCCTCTAAGTGGCAGCTCGTCTAGGAGAGGAAGTGGAGATGCAAGCAGTTTGGTGGATCCTGATGCCTCCCTCAGTGAATTACGGGTGAATTGCATTTTCAAAAAATTTGGAGCTAGTTTAAATTGGAAGATTGTTCTATAATACAGAGCATCTGTAATAATAAGAAAATGCTATGAGGACGTAATTTTCAATCATGAAGTATTTTTTTACTTTCTTGGTAATTTATCTTGATAATTTTGTGTTCATAATTTTGGTTTAAGAGTTTAGTTTATTAAGATAAGACTTTGTGTATATTGAATTTCAAACAATTCTGTCCTATTTGAGATGTCTTGGAGTTAGGGTTATAAACAAAACCCTAATTTCCACAAGTTGTTGTGAATTAATTATAATTTCTGGGAATTATTAGAGGCTTTGTAATGTGACAGAAGTGCATGTAAACCTTTTAATGCTTTTTCAACTTTCAATTATTTCCCCATACTTCTTATGCAATGGTTCATTCCTATGTCCTGCAGGATATCTATGATCTTAAGGACCAGATACATGATGTAGAAGGGAGATACATGCAGGGACTTAAAGAATTGAAGGTATCAGGGCTCCTCCCAAGCATGCATTCTGAATGGGTGTTTTTGCATAATGGAGTTATCACCAGTTTCACTAATGTATAGTGGCTTCACTAACAAATTTTTAAATTTCTTTAAAGCATGTATCTAACTTTTAATGCATGAAGAGCATCAGCTTAAAATGTACATGAGATTGCATGTTTATTATTTGATTACCATTAGAAGAGTATTAAACTTCAATGTTTTTTTATATATATATAGATGTTCTCTGATAAAATAATGAGGTGTTCAGTTTCTATATTTAGAGGCTTGTTAGCAAATAAATGGGCATACAAAATAATTGTAAGGTATCAAATGAGAAACAAAGAAATGGAAGATAACTATGGCAAAGAACTTAAGAATTAGTCTTCCAAGTTTCAGCAAATACTTCATATTATAAAGCAAAACCAAAATAATAATTTTGAAAGATGTACTGCAATTAATTTGGGCAGGCATATTGCTTTCACAAGAAAATTAATTTTGCTCTAATTCTTTGCCATTAAGAAAAATTATTTATGCTGGTTTATATTCCCATTATTTTCTCTAAATCACAGCTTGTTTTTTTCAGCATTAGGCTAATGAGTGCTAAGGAAACTTTCTTGTCTGGCAATCCAGCATCCACTGTGGTAGTTACACCACCCCAGACTTTCATTGCTGGGAGCAAAACCCCCCAGTGAATCACCAAGTGAGTCAATGGATGCTGCACGCTCCTTTCTCACACTGTCAGTCAAGGTTTCCTTACAGGCTCGGCCACAGGTGTCCCATAGCAGAGTCTCAGACCTCTGATGTCTCTAAGTACTTTAGTCATGGCAGAGACACAAAACTGGCTCGAGATCAAGGTGGGTGCCACCAGGGAGGGACCCTGAACCAAGCAATCCCTGGGCTTTTGTATCCACAGTCACTGCACACCGGGGGATGGGATCTTCCTGCTGAGCCATTGGCTCCGGTCCTATCTCCGAGTGGCCACTTACCTGGCTGGTGCCACAGGTCCCCATGCCCCTTGTTGTGCAAAGGGTCAGTGCCAGATCACTGCTCTTGCTGGAATCTCCAGCCATTTCTCTGTATTGAGGGTACAATCTGCAGTTTGCACTGCAGCAGTGCACTGAATTAACTACCTGTACTAGGTGCAGTCTTCCACAGGAGATTTGCTGCATTTTGACTTGTTTATTCTTTTATGCATTTTCACACAATTAAGAGTGCAGTAAATTTAAAATAATCATACTTTTCACTGTTTTGTATGAAGGGAAACAGAATACAACAAATTACGGGGCTTAAAATCTTTTCCAGGATATTTCTTCTGTTCACTTTTCCATCATCAAATTATGAACAGCTTCATGTAAAAGTAAAGAGAACTTTTCATGTGTTTTATATCAACATAGAGACTGAATTAAATTAATGCCTCTTGTATTAGAGCATGTAACAGTGGTGTATTTATCAACTTCCTTGAATTTCTTCAATTTAACAATATGTTAGATGATATAGTAAGGGGAAGATATGTAATACGAGCTGTTTAGTGTACCAAAAAATTATTTCCTCTTTGAAGGATAACTTTACCTTTAAAGATAACTTTAAACCTGATAGCAATATGTTCAGATGAAGTATGTTTTGGTTTAGTTATATTGTCGTATGAATATCAAAAGGACTTCAAAGAGTAGTAGATTACAAGATTATTAGACATAGACAGATGAGACAGATTGAGTGTAATGTGAGACTGCTTCATATTTTCAGAATGGATCTAACTCTCACACGTTTATGTGTTTGCCAACATCTCATGATTACTATTCTGACTCATGGGTAATGGATTATTATTCATTGTAATCCATTACAGTTACCAAAGAGCACAGTGTGCAATAGTAAGATCTTTTTCTATGCTCAACTTTCAGAATTGAACTTCATTTTATGTTATTGCTAATACCGAATAATATATTCCTAAGTTAATTCACATTCCATAGAGATTCTTTTGGGAACCTTTTTTTTTTAATAAGGAAGATACTGCTTTTTTCTCAAATTGTACTTGATCAGTCTTGTTTTGTTTATGTTATAGAAGACTTATCAGGATACCTGCATTTACACTACATTTAAATGTTGGGGTTGTTGTTTGTTGGTTGGTTGGTTGGTTGGTTGGTTGGTTGGTTGGTTTTTTTCCAGTGGTGTACTAATGGGAACTTGTAATCACACTACCTTCTGAGCTCTCTGGTTGCCCTTATGCTGCTAAAAGTGTGGGTTTTACCTAGCTACAAATATACTGGTTGTTAGCAGGATCAACTCTGATGTGGCTAGATCTGTTTTTGTTAGGTCTTCAAATATTTTCCAGTTTGATTCAGTTTTGTTACTTCCTTATATATTTCTTTGCATCAGCTGTAAAGGAATTCTGTTTCTTTCCTCAAATTTTTTTTAATGCTGTTAACAGTGCACTCTCTTGATGTATGTTGGCTTGAATAATCTTGTTCTAGCTGAGCAAGCTAATTTTTATAGCACTTTGACTTTACTGATAAAGCACTGGGTGGTATTTCTTCATAGCTTTAGGTTATATGCAGAGTCTTATGTATTTTCATTCCATCTCATTCCCACTGCTTCATCCTTAAAAATCCTACAGATCCCTTCTAGTGTTTCTGAAATTGTTTCAAATCAAACTGGAAGACTTAATGAAACTGAATGGAATTCTTGAACCATGGGGGGGAACATGTGTTAACTTGAAAAGAAGACAGTTGCAAAGAAGTCTTTGCAAGGTTTCAGGTTTTTTAACCCAGCAGAGACTTAGACATAACTTAGCTTCTCTCTCAGAAGCAGTTTTCACTCTTTAGTGTCCAAATCAATCTATTCCTCTTTTGTAACTGCAGATTCACTCTTCCCTGCCGTTAGTCTTTTTTTTAATGACATTCTAATACAATGTTTTAAGCTCCAACCTAGTCTTGTCTTTTAAGGCTGGAGTCCTGGCACACATGGCATACAGTAAGAGGCTGAGACAATGGACTTGGATAAGTCTTGGAGTAGTGGTTGGCAATATTGTTGCTGTTTTCAGCGTGTCTGATAGAGTGTATGTGTCTGTGGAGAGTAGAGGGTGGACTTCTTTGCAAGAGAAATATGCAACAGACGAAAGTTGAGTTGTAAGAGCAGAAATTCCAATTAGAACTCGAGAAAAAAGAGTTTTCACAAGGAAACCAAACACTGGTGCAGGTCATCCAGCAAGTTTGACCATCTGCAGTCTAGATTTCTGGAGATAGTTAACGTGGAGATGATCTGTGAGCAGCCGTCTTTAGTTAGGGGATTGGACCAGGTGTCATTCAGATCTCATCTGAACTAAATTACTACATGACCCCAGTCACCACATTCAGGGAAGTAATCAAACTGGACTTTTTCCTTAATTGCATTTTTTTTTTTTGTTAAATGTCATATCTCCCTGTGAAATTACGGTAAAATTCACTATAATCCTAATATTTTCATTTTTTCAATGCTAAACTGGATTATTCTTTGAAAGTCTGTCTAGCATTTTTTTTGCCTATCTTTACAAGATTTGTCATATTTACAGCACTGCAAAAAGAAATATTTTTTTCTGATTCTAATCTTCAGAATTACTTGCATGCACTTATGTTTGGTTTTTTTTGTTTTGTTCTTTTTTCTCATCCTGAGGGATAATCTTAAAATTTTGAATCTAAGGTCATAGGACACTACTTAAATAATGAGCATTAAGTTAAAGCTACTCTTGAAGTTATTTTGTGATCTGTTTTACTGATTTAATTGTCCACATTCTCTGTGTTAGATTTATTGCCTCATTCTGAACTGTTTTCTTATGCATGCCTTGAGAATAGTGATATTACTACTAGATACATGGTATTCACTAGAATGTGAAACTGTGATATTACTACTGTATCCGTGTGAGTTGCTGTGAATGTGGCAGAGTAGAAAATGCAAGTGGAATATTATCTTGTATTTTTCATGCTTTTGTAATGATAAATTTTCATTGTTGTGTATGACCTAAGTTGAATAATTGAACTAAACTGTTACTTGGTATCTCTAAAGAATATATTTCAGAAACAAAAATGGTTGCATAATTTTAATGTCTAACATCTCATAATTTAACATTATGGTGGTATTTTAACATTATCACAATGCATCAAAAAGTTAGACTCATGTAAACTTTTCTGCTATCTGTAGGATTCACTAGCTGAAGTTGAAGAGAAGTACAAGAAAGCTATGGTTTCCAATGCTCAACTAGACAATGAGAAAAACAACTTGATTTATCAAGTGGATACTTTAAAGGACGTTATTGAGGAGAAAGAAGAACAGATAGCAGAGTTCTATAGGGAGAATGAAGAGAAGTCAAAGGTATTTTTTTTCTAATTATAAATATAGTACTGAAATCTGGACTACTTAGAACAGTTGAAAACATTCAGAGTAGCTTTACTTGTTAGTATTTGGCTTAAGTCTTTATGGCATTTTTTCTCTCTACAGTTTATTAAATAAAATGTTCTATGTAGTAAGTATCTGGGCAACTTATTTAGACCACTTCAGTGATTCAGTGGATTTTTTTAACTGCTTGGTAGGTATAATTTCTGAAATCCTTGCAGTAATTTCTTACATAACTCAAAATAAATCTAAATAATTGTTTTATTTAATACAGGAATTGGAAAGACAGAAACACACCTGCAGTGTTCTGCAGCATAAGCTGGATGAACTTAAAGAGGGCCTTCGGCAGAGGGATGAATTGATAGAGGTATGCTCATATGAGTGTATGATAGAACCTGTGCAAATAAATATGGTGTAAGATTTGAGTGGGAATCGTACACAAAGCAGGATTAAATGCTATCTTGCATTTTTAAGAAATAATTTCTCTTGTTTTGGTGGGTAGAATTTAAGCTACTGATCCTCCTAAATTTATAAAGCTGAAAATGTCCCTGCAAGGTTTTCAAGTGTATTACATCTTGCAAAACCTTTAATTCTTGTGAGAATTATGGTTCTCTCATGAATGTTCCTTTTCTTTGTTGTGAGAGCAGAACTAATATTTGTGTTGCCAAAATAATTTTCCATAGCTAAAAGTTGTTTTGCATGGATAATACCAAATGTTATTCTTTGCCTTTCCCAAAAGTTTCCATTTCAGTTATTTCAGATTTTTGTGAGTTATCAACAATTGAAGTTTGCCATACTGAATATTTGTTTGCTTATAAGTCAAGCATAATACACAGAAATACTGGTCAGCATGTTATTGGGTCACAACCATATTGCTATATGTGTAGTGTGTTCTTTTCCCCTCTCACTCTGTTCTTTTTCCCCTTTCTCTTTCGGTTCTGGAAACAAACCCACCCACCCTGCAATCCCAGAGCTATTATCAGTCTTCCAAATGGTCCACAAAGAAATATATGTATATATAAGTATACTGTCAGCAGTATGTGGGTGTCCATTTTCCAATAATTTTAGTTGGAAATTGCAGTTCACTTATTACATAATTTTCCCACTGTCTCTTCATTGCAGTAAAAATTGATTATCTTTAAGTGTATAGGCCAAAGTCTCCACTGCCGTTTTCAAAAGCTCTATAATAGTTCATTGATCCTTTATTTCATCACTATATTAGTGTGCTCTCTAGGTGGTAGTACTGTAACTCCAAATGGTTTCTGAAAAGTCCCAGTTCTGTTTTGGAAGTATTATGCTTCATGAACTGGAGTTGATACGACTTACTAGCAGAAGAAAAGGATTAAGACCATCCTAAGTATCAGCATTTTGAGTGAGATAAATGCTGACAAGCAAGAAACCCTAAAAATTTCTCTTGTGACTCTGTTGCTTGCTCTAAGTTATCTTTGACTTCACTTAGAATTAAAGAACAACTTTGCATGTTCTTGTTTGGGGTTTTGGTGGGATTTATGTATATGAACCAAAAATATACAGTCTATTTGTCTGGAGTGTTTGCTTTGGTAGAACGTAGTATGTGTCAAATAGTCACAAATACATCCAGTCCCTTTGAATATTTGATCTGTGTTTAATACTTATTTGTGTATTTCCCCCATCTGTTTACACTGACAGAAAATCTAGCTGAATCCATGTAGCTTTTTGCAAAAAGACTTTGTCTTGCATTCCCAAATGTAAAATCAAGTTCACTCCTTAAGAGGGAAAAAATTGTCTCTAGCCCTTAAAATTCTTATGTCATCTTCATAGCTAAGCATTTAATTATGTTTGCAGGGCAAGTAGCAAAATGCAGTGATAGGTAAAAAAGTAGGACTACACTTGATATGTATTCCATATAGTATCAGAATGAAGTCAGCAGTTGTCTTTTGCTTCCTGGATGTTTCATTCAAATTCCCTTCTTTATACTTTCAAGAAGATTATTTTACATTTAAAACATTAATAAAACTAATTGTTAACATTAATATTCACTTCCAGAGGGGACTTAAAGGTATCTGGAAAGTACAGCAGGGTAATTGTTTCTATCCACAGATGTGGTGAGAGCAGTCACTAAAGAAAAGTAACTCTAGATGCAATAAATTTTCCCAACAGCATTGAGCAAATAGAATTAAACATCGTTCTCTTGCATGAATTAATGAGAAATATATTGCATTAAACTGAACACTGCTTCTGTAACTTCATGCTCATAAACTCTTTAGTTGACTTTTATTACTTAGTTTCCTTTATCTATTTTAATGTTTGGAACTTTTTTTCCCATTTCCTTACTTCTCTTTCCTCTTTTATTCTTCCCTCATCCTATTTACCACAGGCGAATCAACGTATGCAGGAGAATATAGACTCCATAACCAAAGAAGTGTTTGATCTACAGGAGACAATTAATTGGAAAGATAAAAAAATAGGGGTATGAATCAAATATGGGAGGAAAGGTATTTTTTTAATTTAGAAGTAGATGGATGCCCTCTACACCCCAAGGAATGCTGTGTACTCCAAAGAAATTAAGGCCACGCCCAACTTAAATGAATAAAATGTTTTGCAGTCTTTCTCTTCTTCAGAAAATGAGCCACACTTTACTTGCATAATGATAAGTAGTACTAATTAAATCTCTAACATGAACTTTTACACATACAGTTTTCCAATTTTTTGCACAATTTTTGATGGCATGCCTAGTGGTGAAAAAATGATCACTTCTGATCCTTGCAGGATTGGCTAGCTTGGATGCAGCACTGAACCAAGCTGGTTTTGTGATATGACACATGAAATATTTTGGGTATTGAGAATCATAATTGAAACAATGGTTGTAGCTTTTGAGGAGCATCCATAAGGTTCCTGTATAGGAAGAAAGAAGTGTGCTGATACTGTGCAGCTGGTGTAGGTCAGGCAGGGTTTGTCAGCTTTGCTTCTGGGCAGTGCAGAAGTCGTAGAACTGAGTCAGCCTGACCATCGGTGATCACTGTGTGGTTCTGAACTTGTGGCTGCCCTGGGACACAAGTAGATTGCCTGGTGGCAATAGGGAAAGTCTTTAAAAAGGAATTGTCTGCCTTTTAATAGCTCAGGGGTAATTTCTCTCTACCTTAATTTTACAACATATTTTAATATATTCAGATTTCTTTGAAAACTGTTTCATTTGCTGGCGTTCAAGTCACTTTGAAAAGCTGCCTTTTAACTGATGGTGCCCAGTTCAAAAGTTATGCTGTCTTGCATTTTCTTTCATGCTTTAGTCTTCTATCATAAAAAAGAATTCAAAATTCTAAAGTTTTTTGAACGTTGTTCTGAAAGCTTTTTCTTTTTAATTTACCCTATTCTTTCCATACTTATTTCTCACATTTTTATATCAGACTGTCTCAATTTCTGCAATATTTTTGTGCTCTTTCAAATACATTGCCAGAGTTAGTACAAGCATATCCCATATTCAAATATAGCCAGAATGACAAGAAAGATAGATATGTTTTCCTCTAGCCAAAATTGCCCTGCCAGTTTGTATTTTTGTAAACACTTTTACTGGTTATTTTTCCAGTTAGTTGTGGTTTTTTTAAACTCTCAGAATTGAACTCTCTTAGATTTGAAAATGTAAAAATGCTGCTCTTTCCAGTCTCATATCTATAAATATTTACATACTTTTCTTAGCTCACAGCTCTTGAGCCTTTCTCCCTCCTACTGAGCAGCTTTGCTGTTCCAGCTTTAGAAGTCTCTGTGAAGCTTCTCAATGTAGTTTATAACTAAAATTGTAACCTAATTTTACAATGTATACAAGCCTTTTTAGCTGTTTCAGGAAAAGAAAGGGAGGCAAACAGAACAAAAATAGAACAAGTTTGATTTGCACCTGCCTTCTTATGTTGTCCTGTTTCTACAGTGCTTGAAATTTGTGGTTATATTTGATCTTAAATTAGATCAGTTTGAGGGCACCAAGTTACAGTTTCAGGTTATATTCCTGAAATATACAGTTATTTTATGGTTTAGTGGCTTCCAAGTTTCAATTAGTAATGGCAACTCTGAGTTGATATAGATGTCATGAAGGCGTTTGGAAGATTTAGAAAATAGGACCCCAAACGTCTCTGCATTCTTGCATATGATTAGATTTTGCTCGTATCAGTATGGTAAAACCTGTCTGCAGAACTTTGTTGTCTTAATTTCTGTTTCCTGCCCCAATAGAAGAATTGCAGAGGTAGATTTTGTGCAAAATCCATGTCATATTAAATTAAATCCTGAGCATACAAGCATCGAAATTTTTACTGGTTTTGAATAATGATTACTTAGATCTACGTAGGTAGAAATACACAGTTGTCAGTTTCATTTCCTTCCCCATCAGAATTTTCTGATTTCCAACGTTCTCTCAGGTGGTGAGCTTACTTCCCTTTCAATCTCTGCCACTTTTCTTCAAAAATTAAAAAGATGTATGTGTCTTGTAAGTAGAGCACAAAATTATGTAATGATGAAGGCTCTTCATGCTGTTTATAGTGTAGTTAGAGATACAGTGTGTGCTAGGAAATAAAAAGACATCTTACTAATTTTTAAATTAAGCCATCAGCTAATGTTTTCACACATTGAATTGCCTTTATTTTAAATGTTACATTTACATACTAATAAATCAAGTGCAACAGCACTTGTCAGAATTTTCTGTTGAAACTGAGTAATGCTTTAAAATATTGCTCTAGTATAGATTCTAGATGATTATTAAAATTCAGCATACCGCAGTTATGTGGGGCAAGTACAGTACAAATGTATACACCTTCATTTCTTTCTTGGTATCAGTCCATTCCTACAGATTCATGCATAGCAGCATAAACTTTAGTTGGAATAATTTTCTTGGCAAAAATGTGTGTATACTTTGTACTTGTTTTATGATGAAGATTATTTTTAATGCATACAGTATTGAATGCTGCCCAGTCAAGTAAAAGTGTCTAACTACCAGCATAGGCAAACCTGTCTACACCCACAGTGCACTTCTAGCTGCCAAGGTTTTTTGTGCTAAAATACTGCTAGTGTTGCTACTGTAGCATTTGCTACTTTTTTTTCCCTCTAAAATAGATTTCTCTGGGTTTAGTAAATGGTGTTTTAACCTTTAAGCAACTAGTAAATAAACTAGTATTTGTGAGTGGATAATTTCAAGGTCTTCTATGATGTATGATTTCTACATCTGTACCTTATAAAAGGCAGAGAAATTAGTTCAATAGATGTAATGTTTTAGGATCTTTGCCATTTGAGTTGCAGCAAATTTTATTTCTGCAGAGTGCCTGTATAAAGAGGAATCACTCTTTTGGTACTCAATTTAGTTTATCAAAATCTACCAAAAAATAGAATTCACTGAGTAAAAATCTCTCAAAATATCTAGGGCTTATCTGAAAAAGAAGTCATGACAAATGCAGCATTAAGTTAGATATGCAGCTTTTAGAAGGCAGTTATCAGAGATGTACATATTTAAAAAGCGCTTTTAATTTCTTGACTTGTATTGAGATTTTTGTATTTACTTGTAGAACATCTTTCTGCTGTCTGTCATATGCTTTTTCTCTGTGCCATTCTTTTTCTTGCTATCTGCCTGAGCCCAGGCCCTAGAAAGACAGAAAGATTACTTTGACTGCATTAAGAATGAGCGAGATGAGCTCAGAGAGGAGTTGGCTGACCTGAAGGAAACAATGAAGAGAGGACAGGTATGTTGGTAGCAGTTACTTTACAGTAACAGAAATCCAGGAATGGGGCATGAAATCAAGGTCAGTAAAATAGAGGAAGAATGGTTGCTATTCTTGTGCAGTCTGAAAACCTGACCTTAGGGTAGGATAAATGGTCTGTATCATTGTAACTGTTTTGATGAACTTGAAAAGCTCTTTAAAAACTTGCCTGTTGATTTATATTTTAGCTCTTCTGTTATATGACTAGTTTATTCTTTGTTTTGCATTTTTAGAAACATGGATTAGTTATAATTCCGGATGGCACACCAAATGGTGATGTAAACCATGAATCAGTGGTTGGTACAATAACAGTTGTATCACAGGAAGCTGCTCAGGTCTTGGAATCTGCAGGAGAAGGACCACTAGGTAAAAATATTCTAGTATACTTTATAGAGTTTTTGAGGGCTTTGTTTCCTCCCATTCACAGTGGGTGTGGCTTACAGTTGCAGATGCAAGCACATGTGATGCTTCTAGAATATATGCTTACACAATTTCCAGGACTGATTTTAATTTTTTGTTTTTTCTGAGTAAAAAAGACATACTTATCTTTTGAGCAAGAAAAAATGTGGGCTTAGATGTTTGAAACTGATTAGTTCTCTTGATCCAGTTCCTGTTTTAATATTGAGGGAAAACATCTTATTTAAATGTGTCATCTTTTGGATTAGTATGTTTTCTATTGTGTTTCATGAAAATAATTCTTTAGAAGTATACATAATCAATGAAAGAACATTGTGCAGTCTTCCATCATTAGGAAAAGAATTTTTAAAAACATTCAAAAAATGATAGGGACAACAGAGACACTAATTGGGGGTTTTGGTTTAAGTCGCTTTAATTTGATTTTATCCTTAGGTTGAGCAAGTTATCCTATGCAAGGTCAATCCACTGTAAAACTCTGATAAACATGTAGAAAAAAATCTCTATATAATTTATATATAGTTGTACGTAATATATAATAGTTATATATTTTTGTATTGACAGAAATTAGACTTGATATGTATTTTTGCTGTGGTTCCCTCACAGGGAAATACAGATGTCATTATGCTTCATTTCTGTCAAAGTTACAATTTCTAAGGGTGCTGCACTAGTCTTAGCACAGTGTTGCTTGATAGACTATTTTGTAGCCACTACTGATCTTCTGACTAGAGATATTGCTGCATTCCTGTGGGCCCTTTTCCAGGTACTTTTTTTGTCATTTGGGAACACTTTTTGCAAACTTTCTAAACATATGGGGAAGCATAGTGGCTTCCTGAAGTGACAACAACCTTCAAATAAGACAGGGAAAATAATACAGAATCAGAAGAAACTTTTATTGGAAATGGCTGTTCTAAATGTTAGAACAAAATTGTTTTAGTATTAAAAAAATACAGTAAATTATAAAGATTTACTAAACTCTGAGGTCTTGCTTTTAGAATTGTTATACTAATAAACAGTGTGAATGAAGTATTTTTTCCTTTTTTCTACTATTAACTGAAGGTTGTTGTGCTATTAGTGAGATTTCAAAGTTTTGTGGTCCCAGTGCTATTAGCTTTGATGAGCAGTTCATTTGGAATAGAACAAAAAGTTATGAAAAACATATTTTTAGTTACAGATTTCTCTGATTTTTAATTGGATTCTTTGGTTTTAGATATCAGGCTACGAAAACTGGCTGGAGAAAAGGAGGAATTACTGTCCCAGGTAAAATAAGTTATTAACTTCAGAAGCAGACCTTTGTGTATCATTTTGCAGACTATTTATATATAAATAATAAACAAATGTGAAGCACAAAAGTGCTTAATCAAATATGTAAGCACTTAAGCAAAATAAAATACTCCAATTCTTACCTCACTGACTACCAGGAATTAGCAGTTCCTCTTGCTAGTATACTTATCCATGGGACTTTGACCTTGTTTGGTAAAGAAACATCATTTCACTAACTGGTTAGCCGAAATCTAACTTGTTCCTGACTTTACTATCAGTGCACATCCTTAAAGTTCTTTCTTTTATTTTGTCTTATGCAGAAATATTAAAGTCAGTAAAATTGCACTCTTATAAGCTCATGTGGCATTTTCTTCAAAATTGCTGAGTGGTACTATTTCACTAATCATTTTGGTAACTCAGAGAGAAAATTAATATTATTAGTTGTATTTAAATACAGCTCTGTTTTGAGAAGAAAGGACTCAAACATGTTGAACAATTGTTAAGTGCATTACAATTTTTGCTCTTTTAGTTGCAGACATTACAAATTAAACCATTGTTGTCAACATTTGGGTTTGCTGTGAATGAACTTTAATTATAGTGTAGATACTTATTTGGAATGCAAATAAATTATAGTATTAAATATATAAAAATATGTATGCACATATTTATCACTATATAATTTAAAAATCACTGATCATGTGTTTGATTTGTATCAGGAATGGGGGTTTTGCAAGTTAACTCACATACTGCTTATCTATAGAACAATATTTTTATAAGAATGTCCAAAAAGTAGCTCCTACTTCTTTCATAATGTCCAAGGCAGATAGCTGAGAAATCTGTGTTCCCTGACTACTGGAAAAACTGAGACAGCTGCTGTAGCATGAAATAGAACTATTAAAGACTAATGTGCACTATAGACTTCCCTAGGACCATTGTTTCAGGTGGAGTATGAAAAAAAACATGGATTATTGTCTGTAAACTCACTAGGATAGTGTTCAAGATCTTCGTGTGTGTTCAGAGTGTAAAAGATACACAGTAGAAGAAATCCATAATCCATGGAGCTTAATGCCATGTCCTCTTCTGAAAGTGAGCTGTTAGTAACTATGTGCTCCTGCACTGTGCAGACATCCCTGCAGCACTGACCTAACTGGTGGCCTTGGGTTGTGCAGTGACATACAGAGGGTACTCACCCTGTGATGAGGATGGGGTCCTGCAGCCACAGACCTCAGGGACTGACTCCCCAGCATGGCTCTGCTATGCTTGTTTCCAGAACCTTCTCAGCCAGTGGCATTTCGGGACTACTCTGTCTTTTTACCACTGAACATTTAGATACTGAATTTCTGGGAGTCTCTTTTTCATAAAGAAACACTTCCTTTTTCAGGTTAGAAAATTGAAGATGCAGTTAGAAGAAGAACGACAGAAATACTCTAAAAGTGATGGCATGAATCCAGATATAATAGGCTTGGAGAATGGCTCTGACTTGCAGCTAATTGAAATGCAAAGTAGGTATATGCTTACTTCAAAGTTATTCTTCTTGCAGAGAGGACTTCCAACTCCTCTTGTTGTGCACTAGTAGTATTGTGAATGACTGTATTGTTGAGCAGATAGGTTTTTGTTGGTATATGTCCTTGCATGGAATTCTCACGGCAGAATAGCTTAAAAATCTGCCTCTTTCAGTGTTGAAAAACAACCTTCTGGGAAGTTCTTTTTCAGTTGATAACCTTGCCTAGAGTGGGTGCCACTACTTGGATACAATTTTTAGATAACAGAACTTCAGCTAAGATTTTAAGAATATATATTCTACAGGATAATTTTTTTCAATCTTTGATATAGAAACCTAATCTAGGAGACAATTGTCTTGAAGCAAAACCTGAAAATTTATTTAACATAATATTTAATGTTGTTTCATAGAAGCACTAAGGTATTTTTCATTTCAAGCAAGCTATTCAACTGAAAATTTGTTTGACAGACTGTCATTTAATATGCTTGTGTTAATGAACGTGAACAAAGCCCTGGCAATGTGAGGGCTCAAATGTAACACCAAAATAATTTGTCAAGCTCCTTAGAGTTCGTCAGTCAGGTTCAAGTCTTGTGCTTCTTATTCAGATATTCTTACAGATGTCTAAGCTGGATGCTGCTGATATTATGTTTATTGTGGTCTGACATTTTGCAGTGTGTGTTGACTATTATGTTGATTCTGTTCTCTAAGGAATTAATTTGCTGATCTAAACATGTGTTTTAAAAGGTATGTATCTCATTGGTGTACCTGAGATTTAATGTGCACTTTTATAGAGACAGTAGCTGTGTTCTCTAAATAAAGGAAAATTATTTCATTTCAATATTCTTGTAGATTGCTGAAAGAATATTAATTTCTTTGTGATCCTGGGTATGGGCTTCTCAATAAAATTGTCTTTTAATGAATTTTATTTAAAAGGGAAGCTATTTTAGAGAGTTGCTTTGACTAACATATGCATATCAATTTTTGTCTAGGAGATGCCAACAGACAAATTAGTGAATACAAATTTAAGCTTTCAAAAGCTGAGCAAGACATAACTACTTTGGAACAAAATGTAAGTGTCATTCTTCATGTTTGTTATTACACTGCACACTTTTAGAATATCTTTTTCAACAAAAACTATGAAAGCATATTTCATCGTTTGATTCACTGATTGATATTTAGTTTGTGTAGAATGACACTTAAATACCTGTGCACAGCTTAACCATAAGAGAAAATCTACCGAGATGCTGAGCTAGAAAAACATGTTATTGATTTATGAAGTATGATTGTTTTCATAGATGTATAACTCTCAACTTTAGAGAGTAAATTTTGTATACCTTCCACAGTATTTAGAACTTTCTTATGAGTAATTAAGTTAGATGTAAATTGATCTTCTTGAACTAATAACTTCAGTTCTTCTTTATAATCTGCCATAGTTTTGTATTTTAGGAACTTAACTACAGCTTATTACCTAAAAATTAAATGAAGGATTAGAATTTAAATCACAGATGCATATATTTTCTGTTTTGCACATATTCAGTGTAGTAGCCTGTCGTGGGGATTTAGGGGTAGCAGGGAGCTGTACACAGAACAGTCCAGCCTGTGGGTTTTAACATCTGCAGGTTGCAATCAGGATTTGTCTCAAGTCCTCTCCTTCCTGCTGCACTCTGTGCTTGGGCTCACGATGTCTTTCATGATATCCTGATAACAGTTCACAGTCTCCTTTCTACTTTGCACCTTTTCATACAGTTTCTGCTTTTCAACTTTCCACTTTGATTTTTAATCTCATATGTTTCCCAATTCTTGATTTGTTGTATTCCAACTCTTCTCCCTCTGCTTAGTTCTTTAACCTTCTGTATCTTCTCAGCTGTGTCCTTGGAAGGTGAACTCCAGGTGGAATACCTGATTATGTTCCTTTTGTCTTGTTTGGGTTTACAGATTGGACGGCTTGAGGGACAGGTTGCAAGGTATAAAAATGCAGCAGAAAATGCAGAAAAAGTAGAAGATGAACTCAAAGCTGAAAAAAGGAAACTTCAGCGAGAGGTAACTGACTTGGCTTCCTTTCCAGCTGTATATTCCTCTCCATCTTGAGCTGCTCTGTCTTTTGCCTCCGAGTTCTGGGTTTTTTTGTAATCTTTGATTACAGCTTTTAATTGTTTTTTTGAGATGACCTTCAAGTTTCGATATGACATTAAGACATCTAACACTTTAAAGTAATACTAACTATGATTCAATGCTTTACTTCCTTGAAAGGAAGCATCTAAGTGGTATTCTTTTTCTAAATGTGATTAACTTGTAATATTTTAAAGTAATCTTTCTACAAAAATTGCTAGAGAGATGAATGGTCCCTATGTCAAATGACAGCTTGGGAATTCTCTGACTTGCACCTCACAGGATTCTGAGTAGGAGCTGTATTTAACTGAGCTGTTGATCATTCTTGCTTAAGAGATGCTGCATCACTAGCATGATGCCTGCTACCTGTGATGGGAATGTGTGTCTGTGTGCAAGTAACAATGATGGAGAGTACTTTGCCTTGTTCTAGGTAAATTGCTTCCATGTAATGGGAGGTTGCAGGCACCTAATTCTTTCAGAATGAATACACTTCATGTTTCTGTTGCTTCGCAATTATTTTTAACAGTTTAATTCTGTTTCATATGCCTGCAATAATGGAAATGTTCTTTCTTAACTTCTGTGGCACTCTTATGATACATAATATGTTTTTCCTCTTATCAAGCTTGAGAACAGAACAAAGTCCAAATAAACTAAAGTGATCTTTTTTTTTTTTAATTTTATAGCTAAGAACAGCACTGGATAAGATAGAAGAGATGGAGATGACCAATAGCCATTTAATGAAAAGGCTGGAGAAGATGAAGGCAAATAGGACTGCGCTTTTATCTCAACAGTGAAATGGGAATTGAAAATACAATGCACTGCTCCTTGAATAACTAGTCCCTAGCTTGTTTATACATACAGACTTTCAGTGGCACAAACTATTTGAACACTGAGCTGTTCACTGGTGGTTTAGTTTCATAATTAAATGACATACTTTTTGTAATTTATGAGAGAATGAAATGTAGTTTGAATTCCCATGTGAATGACAGCAATTTTTCAGTAGTGTTTGATTCTAGAGTCAAAGGTGGAGCACAATGCTGTATGTTTTTACAACTATGGAATCAAGTTTACTCACGATCTCTTTTGGCTGCTTTAATGATGCTTGATGCTCAGAGACAGCTGCATGAATTCAAGACACTGTATTATGAAACTAACATATACTTGCTTAAGACATCACACAGCACAAGTGCCTTTTATCTGGTGCAATTTAGTCTTCATTGTTGAAATAACCTTTGAAACCAGAAAGCATTTTATTTTAAGATACATTTGGGGTATTCCCTAAACTTTATACATTTTGAAAATACATTTTTTAAAATATTTAAATTTATAAGAAAAAATAGGGACTGTATATAAAGATCTGCTTCTTTTGCATGGGCACATCTGACTTCTGTGTAATTTTGTCAATACTAGCCCCTGATACTCTTAGCATTAAGAGTGCAGTTAAAAACTGAAGTTGTACGGCATCAAATTGTGTCATCTGCTTAAGTGCAAATTGAAATTTTATGGGGGGAGGAAAAGGGTGAGAAATGTGGCTAAGGAGTTTATTAAATGGACACTTTACTGACCAAAACTGGATGTTTTGTGTTTTCCTTTGAATAATGAGATGCTAACAGGACAAAGCAAAATCTGTGGAAGAGTGAAATCTGATCTTCATATTTTTAACAAGTATCTTTCTGCTTCTGGAAGAGTGAGTTTGATTTTTTTTTTTTTTTTTTTTTCCCTTAACCTAGTCTGCTACTGTTTGACAGTACTGCCATGGAGCAGAGGAGCTGCATAAGGAAGAAGGTATTTTCTGGAATAGTGTGGTTTTTGTCTGTAGCATACTCCCTGTAGACAGTGAATACTATTAAGAACTTAGACTCTTCAAGCTGGCACATCACAAGTAGGAAGGACATCAGTAGCACCTGCAATGGCACTGCCCCTGTGAACTTTTCTTGAGGTCAGCAGGAGCCTTGGTCTGAGAGGAATCATTCTTTTGGACTTGTAGCAGATGTTTTCCACTTGGAAATTGCTACTCTTCTGGGAGTATTTCTCAAAGCAAGGCAGTTTTCAGAACCTTTGCAATCCCGAGAGTTAGTACCTCTGCTTGACCAGAGCTGTTTTCAAAGAACAGCCATCTGGACAATGCAAAACTAAACCTTTCTCTCTGGATGTCTCTTGGACTTGGAAAATAAAATTCCTTTCCTGATGAGATTCCTTGTAAGTAGCAGATCTACTTAGGCCTGTTTATTAAATAGGAGACAATTACACTTTGGTGATCACATAGATCATTGTCTGTGCTGTTAACTCTTTGCTTTTTGTTGTGTAGGTATTCAGTAGAAACTCTCAACTCTTGATTAGTTCCTAATGGTAGGTAAGATAAACAGATACTTTGTATGTTTTCAGTATGTAAAAACGCTGCTAAAACCTTATTTGCCATGTGGTAGGACACCTTTCTTTTCATTCCCCTTTTCTAAACCACCCCATTGAAGCTGGACATTTGATGGCACAGGGAAAACTGCAGCTTCAGTATTAAACCATGACAGTCAGATAAGGGGTAGGGTAAAGCATCTGTATATTCTTTCTTAAAATCAAGATCTCTAGTAGATTTTTTTAAAGAAAAGTTATTAACAGTTCTGTTAGCATGGGCATAGTAATTGAAGAGTTCCCAAGTTCTTGCTACCAGAAAATTGAAGCAAATTCAACAAAATATCCAGAACAAGATTCCCAATAGGAGTTACCAGGAAAAGCAGTAGCAAGGGAGGAAGAAAAGGACATTATTAGTTTGTTTTGATACAGTATAGGCATGAAGAAAACTGTAAGTAATAATGAGTGACAATTGGATAGCAATACGGAAAGCTTTTTAAATTTACCAGAGCACAATTTATTTAATCAGAAGCAGAGAACCAGTGTGTCTGTAACAAGCAAGTGAATAAAACATGACAGTAGCAGTATTGCTGGAGACCACACGTTGCTTGTTGGCCAAATGAAAAACAGCCATTAGGTGTAATTATGGAAAGCTTAAAGAAAAAGTAATTATATTTGGTCAGTTCAACTGGAATTTGGTTGAGGAAAAAAGGGTTATGTTTAATTATATTAGGTAATTTTATTGATGGTTGCAAAGAGATAGGGACAATTTTTAGTGGCTCTTGCATGTAGGGTTATACCAAATTACTGCTCACAAAGAGGCATGAGGTTAATAACATTGCATAATACCATTTTTTGTTTTATTGAGGGCATGTTTTGTAACACCCAGCATGGTTTGTCCTTCCCTCAAGTTTATGGAGTTTTGTTTGGTCTGTGGAGGGCTGCTAGGGTTAGGTGAAAGATTTGGTGAGTGTGTTGTTAGGGGACAGACAGCAGCACCAAAAAGGTGTGTGCCTGAGTGGCAATTCAGTAGCTACTCCAGTTTGAAACAGCAGGAGCTGTTGTTTCATTTTTCAGGCTGCTTAACCCCCATCCAATTCCAGTAAAGGCAGTGTGTAAAGGACACAAAATATTATCATAGAGGAAGGGGATCAAAAGCTTGGAAAAGGATAAAAAATACTGTGGTTACAAAAAATCTTTTTTTTGACAGCAAATAAACACCCCATCACCACCACCAAATTGATAGGCCCAGTGATGCTGTTTTGCTGCGATGAGGTGCTGGCACTTTGGGGAGAGAAACCAGAAAATGGTCATTTTGAGAAGGCTCCTCTCCAGCCTTCTCCATTTGTAGTGCCTGGCCATGTTAATGGCCGTGCTCAGAGCTGCACCCAAACATATCAGTTCTCCATTCTGAAAGAGAGCAGGAAGCAAACACTTGTGCCACCTCCTCCAGGTAACCAGGAGATCAACCTCCTCATACTTGCAAGGGTGAGGGGAATCATGTGTGCCTGCTGCTGTTTTCCAATACCCACTCTGCTACCCATGCTGTGAGGCCAGGTACCCATCTTAAGAAACCTGCTGCTGGAAGAAAAGCTGATCTTAGGTGTCCTCATCCATCTTGAAGGAGGTGTACCTGCCATGGCACTGGCAGTGAATCCACTCTGTAGATGGTCACAGCACTTCCTGCTGCAGTCCAGGCACCAGCTACAATCTTCCTTCAGAAAACAAATAACAAGTGCATGAAAGTAAATTAAAAACACAAACCTGGAACTATGATAAAATGTAAAATGTTATCACTGTATCACAGGCCTGAGGAAGACCCAACCATTATCTGCAAGGAATAAACCTCCCCACACATGGGGAAAATTTTTCTTTTGCCTTTCCCAGACTTCCCCAAGGGTCTGCAAAGCAAATCTACTGGTGTGTGGATTCAGAACTCCTGCCTCTGCTACCCCCAGGGGTAGAGGTTTCTGTCAGGATACCCCCAGCCCATGCATGGGTGGGTGGTGAAAGCTGTCAGCAAGACCAGGAGCCTGCTCCCCTTCCACAACATTCATGCCATCCCCCACCAAAGAAAAAACCTCGCAACTGGCTGAAAAATTAATCCTGCCCCACCACAGCAAAGCACAGAACCTCCAGTCCCCAACCCAGCTGGATTATGTAATGCCTGGGGCCAGGAGCATTCCCCCTCTCACTGGGTGTAGACTCAACCTTGATTTCAAGTGGGTGTATGTAACCTTGACTAGCGCTGTGCCCGAGACAGAGACACAGCACTCCATGTTCCATGTGACAAAAAGAACTTTACTGTTCTGACTTCACCTTAAACAGCTTTCTTAATGTTCCTGGGCAAGCACTTGTGATTGGTTGAAAGTTCAGGTTGCTCAGCTCTCTGACCAATAGCTCCTGTAGCTTAGGCTGGGACTCATTGGATCAAATCCTTGTCTATCTCCAATTCTGTCCTATCTCTGTTCCCTGGAGGCCCGTCTATCAGGCCAGGCTGTTCTCCCATTTATGGCCAAATTCACTGCCCAGTACAAGCCAGCTTGCACTGTGACAGGTGAAGACTGTTCTCAAGGAAGCTGCTGCAACCAGAGTCCATCAGCTTTGCCCCGCTGGTGGCCAGGCCAAGGTTGGTTGTGCCACAGGATGCCACAGTTGTACTCCATGTTGCAGGGAGACCATGATGTCAAGGGTCTGCAGTGGGGATGCTTCCCCTTTTCTGGTCCACAGAAGCTTCACCAGACTGGCATGGCTTCTCAAATACCATGGAGAGTGCTTAGCGATTTCTGCAACTTCCCCCAGGACTAGCAGAAGCATCTCATCAGCTATGATCCCTACTCTGTGCTACAGTTTCAGGGAAATAGTCTGATTTTCTTGGCTTCTTAATGTCATGAGATGGTGTAGAGCTGTTACTTACTGGATCCTGCTGTGCAAAGGGATGGATCTTTGCCATCTCCTGGAGCAGATGAATGTCCTGCAGCCAAGAATGTTTGAAAAGGTCTTCCAATGATGGTCTATCCAAGGGACAAATGGAGAAACTATTTCACAAGGTGCTGGCACTCTGGGGAAAGAAACCAAAAAGCTGCTGGTCAATGGTCCTCTCTTTTCAAGGGTCTACAGTGCCCAGGCTGTACCCAAACCTTCCAATCAATTCTCTGTTTTGGAGAGCAGGATGGTAGGACATGTGCCAGCTCCTCCAGCCAACTATGGGAAATCAATCTCCTCCATAATTTCAATAAAAGAATGCTCGTATGCCAGCTATAATCTCCTAACACTTAATTCTTCCTGTGATGCAAAGCCAAGTACCAGCTCAAGACACCCATGGCAGGAAGAAGATAATGGCCCAGAATAATATCCTCATCTCTGCTGAAGGGATGGAACCTGCAGACCATGTCAGAGCAGAATGCCCAGGGCCCAGATCATCACTGGATGCCCATGGTAGTGGAAGATTATCCTCCCTTCAGGTGGGCTGTACACCTGCTTTCCTATGGAGTACAGATGGAGTTCATCAGGTGCACACTGCCCTCGCCTGGCATCCCTGAGGATGTGGGGGCTGCACTGGTGGCACACTGTCACCTGCTGCCTTCTTGCCAGTGCCTGACTCTTGTTAACCAACTTTAGGATGTAAAAGAAAGCCCCTGATGCTGAAAGAAGGCAGAGTGAGCTCCAAGAAGGCCCAACCTTATGCAAAGAAAACGCCCATGCAGGAGTAAGGAAAACACTGCCTTTTATCTGCCCCCTACCCTGCACTGGTCAAAAAAATATCATAGGCCAAGCCAGAAGAGGGGGGTAGAGCATCACCATCCCTTCCATGCCTGCAAATGAAAGTCACCAGCACGAAAGTTTTGCAAACATACCTCTGCTACCTTCCACAGGTTGTTTTTGTTGGGCTGGTTTCCCCTACACCAGTCTCAGCTGGCACCCATTCCACAAAATCCCTCCCCACCCACTCTCCATGAAAAAAGCAATTTGAAGAATTATTCCCACCTCAGCAAAGGCTGCCCTTTGGTGTCCAACTAGGCCCTAGTGTGGACTCACCTGAAAACTAGGTGTACAGTATGTCCTTTAGATTTGTGCTGCAACTGAAGTTGGTCAGCTTCATCTCACAGGTTGAAGATGATGCTCTCAGCCTTGATGTTGCAGTGCAGGCCCCTGTGGCTGGTGGGGGAGAGCCATTAGGGTTACAGGCCTGTACTTTCCAGGATCTTCCTTCCAGCCCTTGTT